TTCCTTGCGCCTTTCCTGATAAACGGCACCTCAATACGTGGAGCCAACATTCTTGTTGATACTGGCGCCATTCCAAGACTTCCAAAGAATAAGAGAAACCAGGCTTCATGGCGGGGTAGAATAGGTTTTCAGCAACCCATGATTGCTGTGAAAGGCGACTGTGCTTGTCGAAAGAGGCGACTAACGGGATCGGGTGGTCTGACTTGGTTAATGCATGTCATCGTTTCTCAATGACGTGGATCGATGCTCATGATGTCAATCACTGGTATGTCTGGTACAGACTCGATTGTTTACAGACCGCCGTCATATAGCTGGAATATTGCTGAGTGCGGCGTTAAACAAGAAACAAAATCATGGCGACTGTTGGTGACCTGGTGTCGTTTCTTTAATCTGAAGATGACTATCACGTGGACATTAATTGCACTGTCAACCATTCGTGCTGTCTCGCCAGCATGCGGTCGTCCTAAAGCTTGTTTTATAAAGTATTTTCATGAAGTGACGTTTCTTTTGCGGTTCAGTATATAAATATACGTTAGGATTTTTTTTTTATATAGTTGCTTGATAACGATTAAAATGGTAAAGTAAATTAAAAACAGTATTAGTTAAAAACAAACTAGCACACTCATGGACTATTTTATGTCATCCTACAGCTTATTGCTAATTATTCTTGACATCCTGAAAGGTAGCCGCCAAGCGCTCATTCCAAAAGCTGATTCATTCCCAAACGAGGCTTACATTATTGTATTACGTTAAGTTTCACCTGGGCTTCTGCTCATTCGGGGTTTTTTTTGGCAAGATAAATTCAATCAATAAGCTTCGTGTGCAAAAGGAATCCATTGTGTCATATTCAGGTCAGTTGTTACTGCAGGTCAAGCAGCCTTTGGGTATCGTTCGATGACAACCTCTAATCTTGTATTCTACGATAAAACGAGAGTTAGGATAAACTCCAAAAGTGTGTAGGTCTTTACTTGCTTCTTCTTTTGTAATTCTGTGGGTTTTTTTGTCACAATGAGTTGTTTCGTCAAATGTCCCACTAAATTAGTATCATAACTACCGTCACAAGAAGTGAGGTGAGGTGAAACTGGGTTTAACGTCGGGTCCAAGATTATTGCACTTGCGACGTGCATGCACGTGTGTGTGTGGCTGCTTGTACTGGTCCGGACTAATGCCGATTTATAGTTCTAGCACACTGAGATACCATGCCGCAGTTGAACATGAATACCCTACTCAGACACAGTATACTGACTCCGAACCGACCAGTCCCCTTTAAACCTCTTTATGCCGCGCGCGAGACAGGGTAACAACTAGTACCAACCCCGGACCTTCCCCTCTCCGGGCGGACGCTCTACCTCTAGACCACGGAGGCGGTCCACAAGAAGTGAGTTTCATCAGGCTGTTTGTTGTGTGGAATGATGTTTGCAATGTGTATTTATAGGTGTGGGTTTCCCCCAAAAAATATGTGTTATGGCAATATAAATCTATCTTAATCATGTATTAAGCCAATATGTTTTGGCATTTCCGTGTGTTTCAGGGTTGACTGGTTTGTGAACCATGCTTGGGTTTCACTAATAAAGTATTTACCCCAAGGGGCCGTTGTCTTTGTTAGTGAGTGAATATGGTTTTACGCCGCTTTTAGCAATATTCCAGCAATATCACGGCGGGGGGCACCAGAAATGGGCTTCACACATTGTACCCATGTCGGGAATCGAACCCGTGTCTTCGGCGTGACGAGCGAACGCTTTAACCACCAGGCTACCCGACCGCCCCAATTTGACTTTAAAACTGAATCCAACAAACACATGGACACAAACGTACAATAACTTGTTACTTTGCTATCTCTCAAAGTATGTGTCTCCTTACCGACCCAAACTATAGTACTGAAACGTTACTGAACTTTAAGCGAATTTTAAAACGACTTAATGCAGACTAGTGCTGGGACTCTGATACACATTGGAACTCATGCACTGGGACATTGATACATACAGGGCCTCCAACACTCACTGGGACATTGATACATACAGAGCCTCTAGCACGCAGTGGGACATTGATACATACAGGGCCTCTAACACGCACCGGGACATTGATACATGCAGGGCCTCTAGCACGCACTGGGACATTGATACATGCAGGGCATCTAGCACTCAGTGGGACATTGATACATACAGGGCCTCTAGCACGCACTGGGACATTGATACATGCAGGGCCTCTAACACGCACTGGGACATTGATACATACAGGGCCTTTAACACTCAATGGGACATTGATACATACAGGGCATCTTACACGCACTGGGACATTGATACATGCAGGGCATCTAACACGCACTGGGACATTGATACATACAGGGCCTTTAACACTCAATGGGACATTGATACATACAGGGCATCTTACACGCACTGGGACATTGATACATGCAGGGCATCTAACACGCACTGGGACATTGATACATACAGGGCCTCTAGCACGCACTGGGACATTGATACACGCAGGGCCTCTAACACGCACTGGGACATTGATACATGCATGGCCTCCAACACTCACTGGGACATTGATACATGCAGGGCCTCCAACACTCACTTGGACATTGATACACGCAGGGCTTCTAACACGCACTGGGACATTGATACACGCAGGGCTTCTAACACGCACTGAACCACTGATACATGCATGGTCCCTAACACGCATTTGGACATTGATACATGCAGGGCCTCCAACACGCACTGGGACATTGATACATGCAGGGCCTCTAACACTCACTGGGACATTGATACATGCAGGGCCTCTAACACTCACTGGGACATTGATACATGCAGGGCATCTAGCACGCACTGGGACATTGATACATGCAGGGCTTCTAGCACGCACTGAGACATTGATACACGCAGGGCCTCTAGCATGCACTGGGTCTTTTTACATGTGAGTGAATTAACATTTATTTACGTCTGCAACAGTTTCCAAATTTTTATGAATTGGCAAGACTATTTCCCAACAACAGCACTAAATACTTGCTCTTGATGACAGAAACTGGATGTGAATACAAGTACCCGGGCGATGTTTAGATTTTTATATGTATCGTGTTGAGAACAGAACCAATGCCATACCCATTTACAAATTCGGTTATTCTTTTATCTTCACAACTTTATACAGTAAATATCCACCACTTACTGTCGATCCTCTCCAATTCTTTTTGGTCCATTGTATTATAACATACACATTTAGCCGATGCTGAGACTCTCGGAACCGCAGACGGCAGAGACAAGAACGAGATTTTATTACCCTTCATGTTGTTTGACGGATAACGTGAAAACCTGGGGTTGTCTCACAAGGGGGAAATCATTTTTCGAGTGTGCTTTTCAATGACATTATTTTCCATTTTATTGATATTGATCCTGATTAATGAAAACTGGTCCGTACATTTAAGAACACAATGTTGAACAGTGGGCCAGCGTATTTGTCAAGCCATGCACTGGCATACATTGCTGTAAAAAAATATATATATTTACCCGACCCCATAGGATACATGTGTTACTGTTTTCTATGTTTTATTTGTACAGCTACGTTTTCCTGTGAACCATAGTGACTGTGCATACCTTTATTGGTCGTAGTGGGCCTTTTCGGGACGTCTTTGTTCATGTTAAAACCAGTAACAGCCTTTAAGCACCCTAATCAAGTCACAAGCAAAATAACATTATTAAATCGCCTCAATAAATACAAAGAGTTAATTGATGCATATCATAGTTTGTTTGTGTTTGTTATTTAACGCCGCACTCAGCAATATGTCAGCTATAAGACGGCGGTCTGTAAATAATCGAGTCTGGACCAGACAATCCATTGATTGCAGTTCATTAGTGGCAAATAGTAGCAAATAGTGGCTGAGTTATTGCTGCATGTGTGATTTAACAGGACAACCAGGTCTGTGGGCTACAAAATGTATAATAATGAAACTGCATACAAAGAATCCATCAAGTCAAAGGGCATCTCCTTATCAAATACAATGTATACATTAATCACGAATCAATGTTCCTCATAACCATGTCAGTTTATAGAATAGTTACATGTACTATGTGCAATTCTCTGCGCTGTAACATGTTTAAACTACGCCAGAGTGACCACAAACTAAACCAAGAATTAGGAATATGCTCTAGGTCTCCAGCACCTTGAAATCAACGGCTTTGGTCTAATATTGTGTCATTATTGAAGATGGAAAACACCACATGTTACACTGTACCAAACATAATCATCAACGATTTCTTCTAAATAAAGTGCTTCAGAAAGATTGTAGTGAGTGAGTGAGTATGGTTGTACGCCGCTTTTAGAAATATTCCAGCAATATCACGGCGGGGGACACCGGAAATGGGCTTCACACATTGTACCCATGTCGGGAATCGAACCCGGGTCTTCGGCGTGACGAGCGAACGCTTTAATCACTAGGCTACCCGACCGCCCCTCAGAAAGATTGTAAAAAATACAGGCAAATTGATGAAATTTTTTTTTTCTTTTACATTTCAGCAAATAATGACTCCAACACCATAATATCTCTCACCACGTTCACAATGTCAGGCAATAATGTGCCAAAATACGTATCTAACAAGTGATTTTATATGTATGTATGTATGTATGTATGTATGTATGTATGTATCTTGTATTTTGTTTCTTTTACTTCATTTGTAAATACACTCTGTCATATTTAGGCCTATATGTTCATGTCAAGTGATTATGCGAATATCTCATAGTTGCCTCTGTTCCGTTATGGAATGTTTCTTGCAATAAATATATCTTATCTTATCATCATTGATATCCTTTTTTAAAACTGCACTGAATTAACAATTTGAAAGTGTAAAACAGTAAAATATTATTAGCATCCTAAAGCAGAGTGTAGCAATAGAGTATCCTTATCAAAGTGCTCGTGTTTTGTTTACATTTAGAGTGGCCCCACAAGGACAAATGAGTGACCCGTGAAAGCAAAGCGGATGTCATTCTGGAGTGGAAATAAGTTTGGAAACGATTTATTATGCACTATTTCATTTAAAAATGACGTCCGAACTTTTGACATAACCCCTGACCTTCAAACTCTGGGCTGACCTTTTGACTCCAAACATCACGATCGCGGCTCAAAGATGAGTGACGGATTTAACAGGTAACTGACAGATTGATTCGTTACAATGATCCTCCTGTAAGTGCGTTTATAGTGTCCATGTGATATCATGAATGCACAGGCCCCTGAAGCAGATAAATGATATTACTGAAATACCGGACCCATATATAAAAAACAAGGTCCGTCACTCGCCATCTTCGCCGAAGTTGAAATCTACTGTATTGTTTAAATTATATGGACATTTACGCATGTCATGTTCACAATACCTCCCCAACTCCCTCCACATACGCCCTGCATGCCACAAACCTTCATTTTTTTGCAATGTATTACCTATATCAGGTCATTTTATCGCAAACTTGGCTCAATCACGGCCATCGGTCACTGAAGTAAACAAAATCTCCGCGTTCAATGGCGTCGAGCGCTCTGATTGGTCGGCGTTCCAACCATAACAAACGCACATGGTGATAATCACCACATACTTTTTTCGGGGAAACATTTTAGATGACAGTTGCGGAAAAGGGATGAGTTAACATAATTCATTTTGAATTATGTCGGTAATCTTTGTTTGTAAGTTGTTTAACGCCGCACTCAGCAACATTCAAGCCATATAACGGCGGTCTGTAAAGGAGTCTGGACCAGACAATCCAGTGATTGCCATCATGAGCATCAATCCACGCAATTGGGATACGATGACATGCATCAACCAAGTCAGTGAGCCTGACTCTTACGACAAGTATGGGTTGCCGATGATCTGTTATAACCTGGAATTTTCACGGGACTCGGTCCTTGAAGAAAAAGTGTGCGTCATCTCAGTTTTGCTAAATTTGCAAAATGACCTACACGCGTGGTACGCAGAATCATCCAAGGTAGTTTTGAACAATATCCAAATGGTCAATCTTTTTTTTTTTCTGGCCAGTATCGTTCTAAAACACAAAAGGTCCACATTATCAGAAGCAATCAATTTATTAGCATATTTATAGCTTGGTGCAAATTATGAGAACGTTTTTATATTAACCAAGATCACTTAATAATTGAATATTTCTTGAAAGCGAATTATCAAAATATCCCTTTTTCAGAATTATTCAACAGCTTGGGTACGAAAAACAATTCACGGCGCCTAACTGTGCAAGAGTTACCGTTCCTGGGCTGACCTATACCTCCTTTGATGGCCATGGTGAGTTGGCATTTTGAACAGAAATAACTTTTTTTTAGATTCCTCCTAGAATTGTAACAAGCATAGAACTGAACCTGTAATTTTGCAGATTAATAATCCACAAAGATTTTTCATGAGCTCAAGGAATGTAAATGATTACACACGTTTAGTATATCTGGGCGAAAGAAACAACTTCGGTTGTGTGGACTCATCAGCCAACAGAGACTAAAATAATTGCGACTGAAAAATACTCTTGTGTCCTCAAAGCCCTTTACACAATCAAAAGCTTTCTTTGTCAATGTTGAGCTGTTTACACTCATCAAATGGCAGGAATTATCTTGCCAAGATGGAAACTACACAGGAAAATGTTTTGTTGTTGATATGTGTTATGTTGTTTTGTCATGTGGAGAAGGTGGCGTTGGCAAAGAAATATATGGTCCGTTGATGGGCTGCAGCAGAGGCACCAGCTTAGTGCCTATAATACTGTTCTCCAAGAGCTGAATAGAGAGGATTCCAGTGCCTATGGCAACTATCAATGGATGGCATTGGGTGACAAGGGAAACGTTAAGGTTCCTTCTCGAAAATGTAAATGTTTCTTGCATTCCGATTGCCTAAATTACATCAAAATGTGATGAGAAATACGATCGGGTTTTGTATCAAAGTTTTTTATAAGCTTAGTTTGGTTTGGTTTGTTGTTTAACGCCGCACTCAGCAATATTCCAGCTATATGGCGGCGGTCTGTAAATAATCGAGTCTGGACCAGACAGTCCAGTGTTTGATATCATGAGCATGGATCCACGCAATTGAAATCGATGACATGTTTCAACAAGGTCAGCGAGCCTGACCACTCGATCCCGTTAGTCGCCTCTTACGATAAGCATAGTCACCTTTTGCGGCAAGAATGGGTTGCTGAAGACCTACCCCGGATCTTCACGGGTCGGCTTTGTTAGCGTACCAGCACTACATGGTTTGACAGTACTATACCCGTGTTCCTTGGTCACAAACATCTAAGAACAACATCACTTCGGTCTTTACTCCCACAACAAGCTCACATGTACGCTGTGGTAATCCATGCACTCCATCACTAATCCATCACTTATTTTCAGCTTCTCCTCAACCATGGAGCGTCGTCAGTATCATACATTCCTCCCAGATTGACACCACAAACGCGCCAGAGGACGGAGAGTCAATTCTGGGTCTTCACCATCTCTTTGGTAAAAACACCATATTTGTAGTTGTGACAAAGGTGCTCTTTTACGACAGGCTCTATGATGAAGGTGTCGCAAAGGCCCCTCTGTGTATGGACACCAGCGTCAGCAACGTCGGAAGAAGCACCGTCGTGATTGACACAGTGATGACATCGGGTCAAATTCCACTGGCCAAGTATCAAAGTAGCTCAATAATAATGGATAGAACCCATGGAAATCCCGTCGAGATTCCCCAGCAATGGAAGAGTACATACGGTCACTTGTGCCAAACAGGCGAGCCAATGAGATTCCGTGCTCTCGAGAGGCCAACTGACCAATCATGTGTAAGCAAGGTGTCGGCTGGGCGTGTGTCTTATAGCGATACCGACGCTAACCGCCATCTGAACTTTTCAAACTATTTGAGATTTTGCTATGATGGTTTTATCAGCGGGTATCTAAGAAATGATCGTACACGATTTCCCCGACAATCAGTTCAACTCAAATCTGCTTTCGCATGGTACAGGAAACAATGTTACTATGGTGATGACCTTGAACTTGAGTTTTGGGAACACCAGACAAAACCGGGTACCTTTTGTGTAGATATGTTGAGAAATGGTGAAAGTGTTTATCAGTGTTTACATGAGTTTTACAACATCAAAAGTATCAGAAGTTCTCTGTGATAAACAATTGGGTGTGGACGCCAATACTGTGCATAGTTAAGGGAAATCATATAAGTTCTTGGCTTATTACGAGGGGGAATACTGTTAGTTATGGTGTCTATAGTTGCCGCATACGGTTTCATATAAGGTTAACAGAACAATATTAAGGTGGGAGTAGGGTGATTTTCCGTTTGTCTGCAATCTCTAACCGATCTAATCAGACAAACAAATAGGTATTTTCATCCAGAAAATATGGTCAGTTGTAAACCTTTTCAACATTCACTATGATGGCATTCACAAAGACATAAACAAAAGTACAAAAATTCAGAGAGCAAAATTCAAGATTCTTCAAATGGCCGCGCCCACACTGGTAGTAGCGATGTTACCGAGAGTGAAGCGAAGGAGCTTGAGTTTTTAGTAAAGTGAGATCACTCTAGTAACTGTGTCTCCAAGAAATGTATAACACCATGACAATGCGTTTATAACCTGAGAGAAACATATATCTGCCACTCACCACATTAATGTTGGCGTTTAATAAGTGAATTAACATAGGATCAGATAAAAGACAATATCATCAAAAATATATATTAACCGTATAAAACACAGTGCTCCAAATGAATTAGTATTTAATTTGAGTATTTACTCACGTGTAATCATTCTCTATGGGTGTTTCAATTTACTTTTAATAGTCCCGATCAATTGATAGAATTAATTTTTTTTTAAATTAGTTATATATTCGGAACTAAGGAAATAGTAAGGCGTCACTTCATTTTCCAAATTATGTGTGATTGCTTGGATTTCTGCCCTGGTTATGTTTGGTGTTCTTGTTGCACCTGCGGAAAAGGTTTCATTGGGCACACAGAATGTTAATAAACTCTTGAGGTTTTCACATTTTTCATGTTATTTGTAGCAGAAGCTCAACGTTAATTTGGCAATGGTGATTTGTTTTTGCATATTGTACGTATGTGAACAGTTTATCAGTGCTGAAGCCTTCTTGGTACACCAACTGTTCTTTACACTTTTGGTTCCAACACAAAATTTATTATTTAATGTTTACTTCACTTCATCAGAGAAGTGTTCCCAATTCCTGTAAACATGGCACATCACACAATATACAGATGTTTCCTCAACTAGAGACAACTAGAGCCTTCTGACACTGGTGTGTCCACAAGCTTGTATACTGCATGTCCATTGCACACTAAAATGTTAAACGCTTTAATTTTCCGCTTTTAAGTTAGTAATTTCTTCATATAGGATAATGTATTGCTATGTTATCGCATATCTTCATAATTTCACAGCTAATATCAGTTCTCCAACAATTACCTCATGATGCAATTATTATTGTATCTTCCACTGTAAGCTTGTTTATGTACTGTCCAGCTGATCCTGTCTCATTTAGCCTTATTTTAGATTCCCATTCTCTTTTTCCTGACAGCTAACCCCGTGAGCAGGTTCATGTGCACATTATGCAGTAATAACCAAATTGAATCTCTAACGTACAGAACTTCTGACAATTTCCAACAACTACCCTCCCTTTTCTTTATTGCCCTTCTTCTGTCTCTCTCTCTACATGTCCTTCTCTCCCTCCCTGTCAGCATCTTCCCGAGGTAAGAGAGTTAACTGACTATAAAAGTCCAGTTTCCACCCTTGCCGAACTTGGCTGGTATTATGGAGTTACATTCTGGCTGGGCTGACGTGTCTCAGTCCAATCACAATCGTGCAACGAAATCAAAATCAGCTTGGTAAACTGTCTTGCAGATTTCGGTAGATTGCAAGATTTACAAAGCATGTGCACCGCTAACTCGTTGTCAACAGATATATTCCAGATCTTTTCATGTTTTTAATCAAGGTGCTTGCGTGATTTGATACACTTCGCGATGTAAGACCCGTTTAATCGCAATTTAAATCTTGATTTTCGATCAGATCATCTTCACTGGGCGCCCCAATTTTGTTTGAACCAAATGCAAGTGATACGAGAGGTGGAATCTGATTGGTCCATAGGAGAGGCTTAGAAGGGACATAACTCGTAATAACCACTGGTGGCGCGTGGACGCTGAAAGCCTGAAGTGATGCCGGTCTTCACGTTCTAGAAACCCACTAGCACGAATATGATGATGACCAACCAAGGACATAACACCGATATTTTAACGTGTGTTTTCAGTTGGAAAACACCTTAACGCGTTTTATCATACACCAGGACCTTGGTTTGGGTATGATGCTACAACGGGGCACCCTGGACAGACTTTGAGTATGATGATACACCAGGACGGCCAGGCCGCGGTTTGGGTATGGTGGTAAACAAGGACATATAGGTCATTGTTTAAGTTATGTGTGACAATTTGGCGAGATTTCAGTTTTGAGTATGAAATAACTACTATGTTGGCATATTAATTACATGTGTCATGCAGTTATATCAGTCACAACACACCTTTTAATTAGCCTCCAGTCTTGCTTTTCGTACTGTTTGAAAAGGTAGCGGAATCAACACATCGATGTTGGTGTCACGCCATTGTTCACTGCCATGTAAGTTCTGTGACTGTGTCTCGTCGCATAGCAATCAGCATGATCATGTTTGTTGGGAATTGTTGGAGCATTACTCTCAGCAAAGCCTATTGATCGCTACCTATATCCGACGCTGTGCGGAGCTGAGTCAATCGTCATTGTTGACAGGTTGTATAAAGCTATGTGGAAGTCACGTGACCATCACATGAGCGTAAACTATTTATATATAACTTCACAGTACTTGTGCATGAACGTTATCGATGAACATTCGTTTGGTCGCTGGTTTGACAGTGTTGTGATATAATTTCCTGCTACAAGGTAAGCTGAGATATGATTAATGAATAATATTGCAGTTTTAATGTTTATTATAACGCTGATGATTGTTAGGCTTAAATTTAAATGAATAACCTACCTCACTGTCAGAAAGGGTCTGTAGATTTGCTGATTTACCAAAGATCATCATGAGGGGTCCATAAATTTATATTCACACCCACTGAGACGTTTGTATAAAATATTAATTTGCCGCCTGAGGTAACTATCCATGGTATATGTTCTGTGTTTGGCTGAAATATTGAGGGGATAGCTCGGAGAAGTATGCATAAAACTGTGTAATTTATACAAGGGGTCACTAGGTTGTGGGTTTAAACCCTAGAATACGACCCGAATCACTTGCGCTTTCCCTCCAACAATTGATTTTACTCGCCGTGATAATTCGAGGCTGCTAACCTCCTTCTGGAGGCTTTTGGTACGTGAGTGAGTGAGTATGATTTTACGCCGCTTTTAGCAATATTCCAGCAATATCACGGCGGGGGACACCAGAAATGGGCTTCACACATTGTTCCCATGTCGGGAATCGAACCCGGGTCTTCGGCGTGACGAGCGAACGCTTTAACCACGAGGCTACCCGACCGCCCTACGTGATTGAGACGTGAGACACAAATGAAATCGTATTTGGTTGGCAGATTCAACATTTAAAAACATTTAATTACGTAAAACGATTTGACGAGAAACATTATGTCGGGTCTCAGTTTGTATTCATGTGAGATATAAACATTGGCGGCGACACATTATAATAAGGTGCTTAATCATTATAGTATGTATATGATATTTGCAAGACATTCGGCTGAATATCTCTCTCTCTCTTCTAAGCTTATTAATTGTGTTTGTCCTAAATTTGATAATGACCCACATAAAGTACTTTTCTACTTTTCTTGGATCATTCAATGTCTATCACTGCATAAAATATGATACATAACAAAATATAAAAAATGTCGTGTACAGCGTTAAAGGTTTGAACAAACGGATCATGGCAAAAAAGCTTTATTCGTGAGAAGCTCTGTACTACACAGATGGACCAGTTCATATGTGATGGTTTAATTTTGTCGATAAGTGAGATATTCAGATGGAGAAACACGTAATTATAATTCGTATTGTTATGAAAAAGATAAAGACGAATGTTGCTGCTCGGAGGTGGATTGACAGTAGTAAACTTTAATGTTATAGTTAGTTTGAAGGGGTGCCATATTAAAGGGCCTATTTCCAAAACTGGTCTAGATTTAGGAGATAAACCTACTGTGTTTTGAAATTTGATGTAGTCCCACTGTAGAGCAGATACGTCTTATTCTAATTTGGGACCGAGCGAATTTTTATGAATCGATATTTAGGCTATCGATGTATTCATACGCACGTTATTTGTGTGAAAAGGCTTAGCATATTTGAAAGGGGTTTCCGTATAAAAAAAGAAACCTCTTTTAATCCAATCAGAATCAAGCATTCATCAATGTCATGGTAGGATTCATAACGAGTGGTCTTCCGTGAACTGAGACAATGTACGTTCTAGACTGATATACTTAAAATCATATAATTTCGAGACAACGTGAGTGAGTGAGTGGTTTAACGCCGATTTAAACAGTATGTCAGTCGTATCGCGTGTCTGCTTGATGTAGGAGTACAGCCCGAAGTAATGCTTGTCTCAAACGTTTACCACTTTGGTGAAATGTGCTGACGAACGAAGAAACATTATGAGGGTGCGCCGGAATTCGAAACGACAATCATATCTTACTGGCACAGCGATTTGCGGTGCTTCAGGTGACTGTGTCAACCGTGCCCCCAGGATGAATAGAATCAATGCTTGTAATACCCCGGATAAACACACCCGCTGTTATTTTTAGTCTGAGAGGTAATATAGTGTTAACACTTTTCCCTTTTGTATGGTTCTCAAAAACACAGTAAACAATAGTCAAGCTGTATCACGACATCGTGTATATAATCGAACCTGGGTCAGTGAAAGCAGGACATGATATGACATGATTTACAGCCATGATGACACACAATGAACACTAAAAACATATCCTCATTTTAGTCGGCTCTTACGACAAGCAAGGTCATTTTATACAGAAATGATAGAAATGGAAGGATGCTAGAATATAAGTGCCTCCACCATTCTGTTCCAGGCATTCCCAGCAAGTGCAAAATGTCAGTCACTGTAGACATATCCGAGCTGAAGAGCAAAGGCTACACCGTGGTGAAAGACGTAATGTCACCAGAGGACTGTGACAAGTATATCAACATCTACAGCAACTGGCTTGCACAGTTCAATGATTCGTGGCCAATCTCAAGCAACTCTCTGATCCAACGATACGGGATTGGTCACATGGAGCCATCCTGGGGAACCCGCCAAAAGTCCAAGAAGGTCTTCGAGCAAATATGGGGCACTGACCAACTACTGACAAGCTTTGACGCAGTTGCAATTGGGCGGCCACCTGAAGATGGCGAGGAGACATTTGCCGTCCCGGGGAAGCATTGGCTCCATTGTGACCAGGGCGTTGAGCGAGTTGGACTCCACGCCTACCAAGGAGCCGTGTATTTAGAGGCTGCTGATGAGGATGACTGGACGTTTGAGGTTCTGGAAGGTTCGCATTTGTTGCACAAAGAATTCTTTGAAACTTTTCCACGGGCAAAGATTAGAAGCATCACCAACAAGTTCTACGGCCTAACAGATGGAGACGTGGAGTGGTACAGTTCCCATGATGGAGTTACGCGACGAAGGGTCCCCGCCCCTAAAGGAGGGATGATCATATGGGATTCAAGACTCATCCATGCCAATGTTCGACCGATGGAAAACAGGCGCCACCCTGGGAGATGGAGATACGCTGTGTTTGTTTCCATGGGCCCGGCCATATGGGCCAGTAAGGAATATCTCAGACAGAAGAAGCAGGCGTACCAAGGTCTGAGGATGACGTCCCATTGGCCCTGTAATGGTCTTGCATTGTTCTCGGATATGGAGGTAGGTGGAATCATGGCCACAGAGAAACTACCAGACATAGCCTGCACAGATGATGCTAAACGTTTGGCAGGGGTTCTGCCCTATCTTGGTCAGAAGAAGGGGCCGCCATGGAGGCCTGAATGGGCAGAGGGCAGCAGGGAGGGACGTGAGATGACAAGAGGGTCTACCCCGCTGTGGGTGGTATTAGGAGTTGCAGCGATATCCATTGTCACTGCTCTTTTTGTAAAGAAAAGTTTCATGGGATAAACTGTCTGACGCTGTTCACTTCAATGAAATCTGAAACAGTATTATTATTAAGGTTGCATCAGCATTGTTTCAGCCACATGACCATGTAACCATCACTTGCACATACAATTCCACTTCCTTAAATGAAGGTTCATCAACTGGATATATTTTTTAAGATATTCAAGACCACATACCATCATGATCTTTGCCAATTGAAACAAACTAAAAAAAAGCGTTTGGCAAAGTACTGCCTATTTTCCCCCGTACTGCGAGTTCAACATTAGAAGGCATGATGTTATTGGGGAGAGAAATCAGGACTGGCTCCTTCAGCCAATGATTTTAGATAAGACTGAGAAGCTTCGTCCTGAATTGCAATTCCTGACAATACTAGACCAAACAGATTCAGTTGGGTGTTTATTCAGAACATCTTATCTCATATCATTTGCATAAGCCATAATCTCATTGTATGAAAAGAGAACCTAAGACATTAAACGATGTTGTGTGGTGAAGTCATACCCTGCTTATGATGCATCCTGGATTACACTTTATGAGCCACGATTGTCACCAAACTCTTTCAACACAGCTGTAGATCATCACATACTTATTGTTTGCGACATTGTTTTGGGGAATATCTTAATGGGACTATGCTCCACGAACTGGTGTCTAGGCTACATCTGTTGTCATTCTGAAACTGGGAAACTGGGGCATTATCTCCTGTGTTGCAAGATATCAATAACTGTTTTGAATTAGCTAGAATTTGCTGAGTCTACTTATTGGTTGGAGACTAGCCCCCTATAGATATTACATATATATATATTATTTATTCACACACACTATATATATATATACATGTATTTATATTAGTAGATTGTGAGTATGCATGATTAAAGTTTATTTTCTCAGACTTACAAGATTTTGTTTTCATTTTAAACAATCACTAAATTGGATTGGGTAGTCACTTGGTTACATATCAAACACTGGTTTATTTGGTTGGACTCAATTATTTACCATCTTGATATAGCTGGTGCCGTGCTGACCATGGTCAAACAAAGCACACACACACAAATTAATAATATATATTTATTCCAGGAGATTGTGAATATTCATGTTAACATGATTAAAGCTGATTTTCTCAGACTCGTGAGATTTTGTTTTGTTATTTGCAACATAATTTGATTGGGTCGTGAGACATGGATCAGGCAATCATGTCATATGCGAAAGGCTTAGGACGTGGTACAAATTGACCACTGGTATGTTTGGTCCGGACTTAATTACTTACCTCATATTGCTGGTGTAATGCTGACCATGATGTAAAGCAACAAACAAAACAAACAAACAAACAAACAAAGCAAATATAGAATTTAATGATTGAGAACAACTTGAACAAGATGCTGATGACGAGATATACAACAACAATGCATCTACTGAGGCTGAGGCCATGCTCTAAAGTCACAATGTCATCTTAGGGGGGAAAAGTGCTGGATTGTATGACCAAATTTATACAAAACCACCCCAAAATAGCTAAGGGTTTTCCTGACATTACTTTTTGATATCAATTGTACTGGTTATTGAGAATGACAAAAATCCAAGTACAGACTTCTTAATGATCAAAGCCAAAATGTGATCAGAACCAGTTTGGAGATCATTTAATGAGCAGGGCCCCGTTCCTCAAAGCGATCTTAGGGCTACGATGATTGTAAGCCTATGTTAAAGTATGGGACTTACGATCACCTTGGTGCTAAGATCTCTTTTGGGAACGGGGCCCCGCACATCAAGATGATTTGTGACATGATAAGTACTGCATCAGAAAAAAGGCATCACTACTTCAAGGGCCTGTCTACATTATATCCCTTCATCACCTGTGAATACATCTGACCCACAAGCAGTGTAGAGGTGACCTGTGTCTATTCTGTTTCAGCTTATAAAATGAGGATGTGTACAACTCATGGAAGCCGAACCATCCCTTCTCCATGCATGAACATTTCAGGAAACAACCATTCCCTGAAACCAAAAGTATACAGGTGAATGATTATCGTACGACTTGTTTGTTTAAACTTCTGCAAGGCAACAAGGGATTTATCTTTCTTTTCAGATAGTAATTTCATTTCGAAGACATGAAACATTTTTTGGTGTTTCAGGACTAGTTATTGATCCCTCATTAGAAGCAGCTCTGGAATGTCATGGCAAACAATAAAAGTTGTTACCAATAAAATTTGTCATGTCTTCATGTGCACCCAACTTCAAAATGACATTCAAACACTCTACTTCAGGTCATTAGGTCAAATTTCTGTCAGATTTTGTAAAGAAACTTTTCTGCTGGTCCATTTACTAAGGGGGTCATAATCTGTGTCTTGATAGATGTAATTCAAATGTTCATTGGTCACAGCAGCAAACAATGTTGTGGGCCTTGTGGCAAAATGAGGAGACCCAATCAGTACACATATCGCTGGATACTTGGGCTGGGACGGGTAACTCGGGTACTCGGGTCGGGTGGGTACTGAGTAGAGCCCGGGTACCAACAGGAATACCCGGACCCGTGGTTAGTCACGTGATATATTGTTTTGTGACAACAATTATCTAAAAGTCTATGGTTACACGACAAGTCATTAATTTTCGCATGTCTTTGCACGTATTCCTTCTGACTTTTATATGTTGGAATAAAGACAAAACAGTCAACTTCAGTGTATGCATGACCAGATTGTTTTATACATGTATCTAAATACATTTTGGCAGGGCTATGGTAAAAAAAATTCCTAATCAGACATCTCTTGAGACCTATAGCAGTTACCTAAAGGGTCCGGTAATAGGGGGGTGGGGGGATTGGGTGGGGGTGGTACCGGGGTAGTAAATTTGGACTCGTTCCAGCCCTACTGGACACAACTCATATTGAAAGAAACCTCTACACTGCACAGGTGCACCGAGCATCCCAAGGGTGATGGAGGAATTTACATGACAGTATACAAGCCTGCATTGTGTTGACAGTGGGGTAAAGGCTATTGTATCGTGAGATCTGATGTTATTGTGCATCAGTGCATTGTGTCAGGCTTTTTATCCACTGTATGCAGTAATAGAACAGAAACCCTCAGGTCTGCGAGACAAAAGAGATAGAACCTTTACAAAAGCCAAAGAATTTCATTTTGTGGAACATGGGTGGCCCAGTCGTCTGAGGTGCTGCTATTTGCTGTGCAGAGTTGTATCCCTTGGGCACGGTAGAAAATTATGATTGTTGGTTTGAATCCTGGTTCACACCATTATGTTTCTAGATTTGTCAGCACCATACCGCAGTGGGTTTCATCAAAGTGGTGGACGTCTGAGACTTTCATCACATCAGACTTTTCTCCCTCATGATATTGATATAACTGGTATACTGTTCAAAGCAGCGTTAAACCCAGCTCATTAATGATTATCACACAGCTTGTTTGTATAAACTGCTGCAAGGCAACAAGGGATTTATCTTTCTTGGTTTGTCAGTACCATACACATGCCCGTGGGTTTGAAAGCGTTAAACGTTTGCGACCTGCATCACGTCAGGCTTTCCCCGATGTCGGAGAGACCAGCAATACCAGATCATACAGCAGCTGAAATCAGACCCGAGTCAGATCAGACCACAGCTAAGTGCTGATCCATTGAATTAAAATGGATTGTTTACCTCAAAACTATCCACCAGCAAGGCATGAATGGCAAGATTTACTCCTGGAGTTCCCCAACCCCTCTCACTGTCCGTGCCCCTGGGTTTCATCGAAGGGGTAAACATCTGAGACCAACATCATGTTGGCTTTCCTCCCAAATAGCAGGTATATAACTGCAATACTATTCAAAGAGGCATGAAACCCAACTCACTTTGTCCTTTTGAGTATCCTTGTATCTTGGAAACCATTACCTGAAAGAGTTCAGTTTTATACCACTTTGAGCAATATTTCAGATAAATTTGGAAAAACATGTTGGTTGGTTGGTTTGTTGTTTAACGCTGCACTCAGCAATATTCCAGCTATATGACGGCGGTCTGTAAATAATCGAGTCTGGACCAGACAATCCAGTGATTGACATCATGAGCATCGATCCACGCAATTGGGATCGATGACATGTATCAACTAAATCAGCAAGCCTTACCACCCGATCCCGTTAGTCGCCTTGTACGACAAGCATAGTCGCCTTTTACGACAAGCATGTGCCTGTACCACAATTTAAGAACACAACTTTGCAGAGTGAATTACAGCTACTAAGATGACTGAATTTCCATGTCCCCTGTCACATATCTATATACGAACTTTTACAATAATGTCAACTCAGCAATATCAAGATAGATTATATTCAGAACACGTCAATATTTTAAAAAAACATCATCTCTCTAAACAAATATCATGATTGACAATTGTCAGGCAAAATATATCTGATTAAACAAAACTAAAACATTCTACGATATTCGAAAAATATTTTTCTTTCAAACAGTTTGCAAATGCTTTTGAATTGTAAGGCACACTGTATAAAATGAGCAACAATTGAAAGTTTCTTTGGGGAGAATCACATTTACGCATATTAATTCATTATAAAGCAAAACCAATACAATGTTTTATACTACCCATTAATTTCTTTAGCTAAATAATTACATGTACCATATTTGTCATAATAAGTTACCTAGGCGCTTAAAAGAATGACAAAGGGAAGGTGGTTATTTATACCATACACAAGTAACATTTGTTTGGGAGATCAAGCAGTAATGAACAAACTTTGTTCAAATATCAATCAAACTAAAATAAATTTCATAAATCGTTACTTTGCAATCATATGCCCTAACACGCTGCTGTTTTCTGAAAAAAATTGTAATATACACAAGGAAACATGGACTGTCACGTAAATTAGCAGGGGGTGCATTTTAGGATTTCTGACATATTGGTCAGAAGGCACTTTTTGGATTAGGGCTCTTAATACGACAAATATGGTACATCAATCTGATGATGTTAAATTTAAAGATTCATGGCCTGAGGTCAACATTCTAAAACACCCTCAGGGTTGATGAACTATCTATACATCTGTCAAAATTTCAACATTCATTATCTGGAAAAGATTTATAACATTTGAAAAAAAACATGAGACATCATTCTGCATACCTCCAGTAAACATATTTACATATCCATTTGAAAACATCAATCACTTTCATGACACAAAATACTAAATCATTGGTTAGATCTTCATTGGTAATTTTCATAACAACTACTATCTAATTCTAAGACCTATTGATAAGAATGGAATATCCTTTCCATCCAGTAAACATTTCTATGATTCAGACGAACAAATCACAAACACAACATTCATGGCATTTCCAGCACAACACTATAAATTCCTGGGAGTTATGAAGCTCTTAGCAGTGTTCGGGATCAACACATAAGAGGATATTCTTTTTAAAAGAGACAGACTTGCACTCATCAAAATTCAATAACTGTCTTTGATCCATGAGAACATGTGGCCAAATGAACGAAATGAGATTAGTGTTAGGTCAATTTAAACAGTATTTCCGTTATGAAACAGCTGGTCAGTTTGATGTGGGAAGATAGCCCAAAATGATGCAGGTTTTTTACCACTTTGGTGAAATCCACAAGCACGGGACAAATCAAGGATTATAATCAGAGCAAATGTTGGATTATCTGATCCTGGCATGTCAAAGGGACATAATCGTGCACACTGAGTAGAGTTGTGTCTCCCAGATGCCAGAATCTGCTGGTTGAGTGTCTGAATCCCAGATTCTTTGTTTCGCCTGTGGTAAAGTTGTGATGTCTCATTCATATGCTTTCCTCAAGGAAGTAGAACAACCTCAGTGACATAACTGAAATACTGTTAAAAGTGGCTCATGTTTCAATTCTCTACAAGACTGGGGAAATCTGATGATCTACATTGCATAATCAGGAATCAGACGGCAAAACAACCATATTTAACATTTGAAACAAAAATGGATCACCCTTCAAACATAGTTCATGATTAAGCCAGCCAGTCTCACACTGCTTACACTTCCTAGTTATTATCAACTATCATCACGTTCCAGGAAAGAGGAACTAAGTCTGCAAGGTCAGTCATAGATAGGAAGGATATGGCCAATACATATTCACAATTAATGCTCGTGAACACTATTACCTCCATTGTCTTCATTTCAACACTGAACACACAAAACTCCATACACAATCTCAATAAAATCAGAACCCTAGTTCTCGCTAGTGCTGAACAAAGATCTGAGGACACTCCATTATGGGTCACATCAGAACGACCCTTCATTCAACCAATCAGAACAGTGCTTACCAGATCAGGAAAGTGACAGTTGGAATGTGTTTTCTAACTATGCAACTTCTAAAAGGTAAACACTGGGTATTCCGAATGGCAGTTACAGGCTGCACGACTGATCACATCAATATCATTGTCTATACCTCGCTTCAATGGGAATAAGATTTGAACTGAAGAGACTTTGCATAGCTCATGGGAAGAACTGCCACAACATCTCGGCCATCCACTACACATTCTAGAGTTTCTCAAATTTTTCATCAATATTTTTAAAAGCGTAGTCTTGAATGCAAGTTGCCTGTTTGAAACTAGAACGTTAAAGCTTGAGAAAGCTGCTTTCTGTTTGGCTACTGTCCACTTCTTGCTAGTTTTTTCATTGGTCAGTCAAAGTTTGCGAATGGTTGTTCTGACATGACCTGCAATGTGATGTCCTCAAATCTTTGTTTGGTGGAAGCAAAAATAATGGTCTGATTTTAATTCTATCAACTCCATTCACTGCTAAGTGCCAAGCGTATTTTCTTGCACTGTATTATGCATACTACCATTACTTACATAAAACATTGTACACATCCATGTACAATGTGTTTTAAAGAGAACACATATGATGGAATGACAAAACTACCATGCTCATTCTGCATTGCTGTGATGACTTGAGCAAGAATCAATATAAATGCTTCACAATACTGTGGCTTCTGCAGGTAACTCCCTCAAACTGAAATGGTATCACGAGGAGGAACAAGTTAAAAAGCAAATACTATGACAAAAATGTGATGACAAACTATGTGATGACCATTAAAAATTTTGGGGATTGGGATTTTTGTTCGAGAAAGAAAAGTTTCTCTCACAGAGCAAAACAAAAACAGTTTTACCTTCCAGTTATTTTTATTGCAACACCTGAGGCAACTTTATATTTCCAGCATTGTCAGGAATAAATTTATGTATTTAAAAAAAAATCCCAGGTCCCCAATTTCAATTTGAGCCACTTCAATCTGATTTGATGTCAGATGTCATGTCTAAAGAGGTCAACACAGTCACCAAGCGTACAAGCTACGGATGTCATTCATGGATAACTGCACCTGTCCACAACCTTGGAGGTGAGTTGGTCAATATGAAGCTTCAAGTGACCTGTGTAGCGGGGATCAGGTCAGATGGGCCTTCCTGTCCTAGTGGGAGGCACATGCGTGAGTGAGTATGGTTTTACGCCGCTTTTAGCAATATTCCAGCAATATCACGGCGGGGGACACCAGAACTGGGCTTCACACATTGTACCCATGTCGGGAATCGAACCCGGGTCTTCGGCTTTAACCACTTGGCTACCCGACCGCCACATGACCATCCTCAACTTCTCAAGCTGACTATACAAGATACCAAATCAAGGTACTACAAATGACAAGTCACAAAAAGTTGCAAACACAAATTACTGCACAAGCTGACTAAAAGCATTACTGCCAACATTAACTAAACAGATGGGATTATATTAAAGACAATATACAAATAACAACGCTCAAATCAACAAATCCTCTACAAACTACCCATCTCTATGTGATGTGTGCGACCTGAGTTTATTGGATACTTTTGATGTAAATCGCACATCAGTGATAAATGCATGCATTTAATTCAGGTGGGAAATAAGCATTCTGCCAATCATGATGTACTTGGGACCTACTCTGCTACAGAACTCTCATAGGGTTAACTCTGTTGATGCACCAGGCATGGATACAGACTTCTGGAAATGGGTGTGCACTTTAATTGTACTACTAAAACAAGTTCAGGAATTCCATGACAAATTGACTGTACATGTAGTACATGACTACATATGAAAGAATTGGGTGATCCTTCATGTTTTTGAGTAGTATACATCTAGCTGGGTGAGTGCAAATATTTCGCAAAACAAATTGTGTTTGTTATTTTGTTGAAAACATAAAACCAATGATTTAATTTTATATGTTTACATGTTAAGCATGATTCCAAAAGGGGAAAGCGCATCCATCCATCTCCCCACATCCCCCTCTGTATCTGAGAATGTGCACATGTTTCATGCATGTCGCTATATCCTAATTGCATAGATGGATTCATAGATGGATGCACATGATGTCAATCACTTGATTGTCTGGTCCAGACTTCACTATCTTACAGACCACCATGATATAGCTGGAATAGTGCTAAGTGCAGCATTGAACAGCAAACATATTTCATATAAGTGGAGCTGCTTTAGCAATCTTGGTACATTTGTATCATCATCACTAAGGAAACAAGACAAGTCTGAGATAACAGGTTACAATAACGTCAAAATACTTATACTGGTCCCAAAATATGTTAAATGTAAAAGCACAAAAATCATATATCAAACTCAACATGACATCAATGATTAAACACAAGTGTTCAATTCAAAGCTGCAATTCAGGCACTTTGAACAGCAAAAGGCAGAACAGTGACATAGCTGTAGGCATCTTTATGTGGAATTAAACCAGTGACATCAGACTGTATTAGTGAAAAAACCTCATTCAGAGGATACCATAACAGAATGATCAAATTATATCAGATAGTGAGAGCTTTACACAAACAATAGTTGTCATGTGCCTAACTTCCCATGCTTATGTACAGTATTGTTATTTTCAGTGAAACACTTGGACTTGAAAGGAAAAAATAATTTCAGAACTGGCTGAAAACATTGCCTTAACAAACAATGAACATCATTAGCACTGCACCTTAAAACGAAATAATATGTATAATGTTAGGCATTTTATTTTTAACTGAAACATTTGTGGATCTCAAGTCCCAAATTTCACTTTTGAGGAGTTGTTTTTTGCTTTCCCTTTGAATATCTCTAATCTTTCCTGATGTTTTTATTTTATTTCATCCTTTCCATCTTTAAAAATAAAGAAAATTATGTCATAGTTTGTTATATATTTTTCATTTTGACGATCAACCCCATGGTTCTGGAAAGAAAATATGTAAACTAAACTGTCTGAGCATCATCATTTTTTTTATGCATGTATATCTTATAACTTGTGACAAGGGAGAGTATTTCCTGCTGTAGCAATGTGAAACTCCCAACAAAATGTACCCCTGACATTTGCTCCAATACATAAGGTCAGCGCCAAAAACTCCCAAGGCAGTTAAACTTTGGTGTCTCTTGACCAAATTGAATAATGACTGCAAGCTCTAGGAGGATCAAGTTTTGTGGCTTTTGACCATGCTGCGCAATGATTGCAAACCCCAAGAGGTTAAACTTGTGCCTCTTGACCATATTGAATAATGACTGAAAACTTTTATGGCTTTTGACCATGCTGAGCAATGATTGCAAACCCCAAGAGGTTAAGCTTGTGCCTCTTGCCCATATTGAATAATGACTGAATTTTTTTATGGCTTTTGACCATGCTCAGCAGTGATTGCAAAACCTCAGAAGGTTCAACTTGTGCCTCTTGACCATATTGAATAATGACTGAAAACTTTTATGGCTTTTGACCATGCTGAGCAATGATTGCAAACCCCAAGAGGTTAAGCTTGTGCCTCTTGCCCATATTGAATAATGACTGAATTTTTTTATGGCTTTTGACCATGCTCAGCAATGATTGCAAACCCCAAGAGGTTAAGCTTGTGCCTCTTGACCAATTTGAGTAATGACTGCAAGTTCCATTAGGTCCAACTTTTGTGGCTTTTGACCATAATGAGCAATGACTGAACCCAAAGTGGTTGAATTTTGCACCCCTTGACAATGTTGAATGACTGTCAACAGTGTGATATGTACAAAGAAGTGATACTTCCTCAACCAACCAACAGATCATCAGCTTTATCATACGTGTAGCCTCTTCATTTTCTCCTTCTGATTTCCAAGAGGGTTGTACAGAGACACATACAGGATTCCCCAGTGGTCAATACTTTGCAATAAGTCTTTATCATAAGTACTTAAAACTCCAAAATTGTTGTTATAAACTTCCAACATTATAGCATGACTAGCATGAATAGACAGTAATATTCAAAATGAATGTCTGTCAAAGGAACTTCCAAGAAAATACCCATTTTGTTGACCACAGGCATCAAGTGAATATGGCAGAACAATTTGGTCATGATAACACCTTCCGTCCCTCCATGCTACACATCATTGGCTGTGTGGGGAACAACATGCACATCTCCCAAACCTGACGTCACCCTCTCTACGCCATCAGTCTCAAGGCTACTTTTCAGTACTTGTGATTCCGAACCATCTACCAGGAACTGACTCCTTCCTGTTTCGTATCTGTCCGTCACACTCCTCAAGCTCCCCTCCTCATCAGTCTCCCTTTGATCATCACCACCTTTCTGTACACCATTCATGTCCTCCCTACTTCCTGGTTTATCATCGGGGGAGGCTGTTCCAGGCACTTCATTTTCTGTGATACTTTCTTTGGTTTCTAGAAAACTGCTTGACGTAATTTCAAAGGAAGGGCTGTGCCTACAATCTTGTAGCATCTCTTGCCAATCACTGCGACATGATTGTGAAGGCATTCCTGCATTCTGATTCTGATTGTAGGCAGGCTTGGCCCCGTCATTGTGTAGTGTCTCCTTCCTATCAATGTCATGTGACTGCCTGGAAGGTTTCCCTGAGTTTCCCAGTGTGTCCAGCTGACTCTGACTGTCTGAGGTATTGTCATCCACTGCCTGATCAGACATCTCTCCTTCAGCATGAGGACTAGAAATCTCTTGCATCTCGACTGACCCTGCACAAGATGGTGATGCTGTAAGTGATGGAGATGTTGATAATGATGTTGACTGAGATGGTTGATCTGACATTGGTGTGTCGCCAGGAGACAGGCTGCCATTGAAGCTGCTCTTAGTACTTGATTTCTTCAGTTCATCCTTGGTGCGGACACCCACGACTTTCATAATGACATCCAGCTGCTTCATGTAGTCACTGTGCCCATTGACCTACAGGGACACAGAAACACCGTCAAATAAATGTACAGTCCATTCCATATAACACAATCAGACATATAGCATAATATTGTCCATGAACCCACTTCTAACCCTAGAAAGGTTAAAAATACTTTTTTGTTTTATTCATGCAAAACTGAAGTCGTTTTGGATTAAACATATCTTTGCACATAATATTTATGTAAAAGGAGGTGTTTAAGTGGTTAGATTTAACACAGAACAGTATTTCACTTACGCCACAGCGTGTCAGCTTCATGTGTGAGAAAAGCCACAAATGATGCTGGCAATGGACGTTTGGTTCCCATTTCTTAGAGACTCTTGAGATTTTTTCAAATTTGGTAACAATAAAGAAGAATGTCCTATCAAAAGTCACAAGATCATGAAAATGCCCTACTACCATTTGCCTCCATCAAAATCAGCCACTGCACGTACTCTGAATGAGGCTACACAGGTGATGACTGAAACATACCACATCACTGAGATCAATGTTGTGCATCCTGCGATTGTTCCACTTGATGGGTCCGAGTCCTGCTATCTTCATCTGAACTGAGGCTGTGCGGTACAGGAACTTCAACAACCAGTCTCCTCTGTTGGCAACAAGCAGCACATACCGGTAAGCAACACTGTTTTCAAAATACATAACTCACCCATCTATCTATTATCATAAAACATTGTATCCTGTAGTCAAGTGTTTGGAAACTTGTTGCAAGCTGCAGATACAGGGGGAAGGAATCTGTACTCCCCATTTTTAGACATCTCATGTGTCTTGCTGTCAGTTCCTCTGTTATTGAATCCCAGAGTGTGACATCCAATCCCTATTTTAGTCATCTCTTATTAATGGCATGGGGTACTTGGGGCCTATTTGGACTCAAAATCACCATGAAACCACCAACTTGAATCTGTCTAGCAAAACCGTAGTTAAAGACCGCATACAGCAAGTAGAAGTATTAGAGTTTAGAAGGTTTGCCTCCCGATATAACACTAGGACTCGTGTAATGGAACAGCTTGTGTTGGTGACAATCTTACACAAATTGTTTACAGTATAAGAAGTGTGTCAATGAGTGAGTTTAGTTTAATCACGACGTGTTAACTTGATTAATGTGGGAGGAAAGCCTGAAGTGATGTAGGTCTTAGACTTTACCGCTGGTACAATGCCGACAAACTTAGAAACATAATCAGGGTGAATACGGGATTCGAACCAACGATCATCGGCGTAAGCATATTACGATGATTAAAATGAAAGGGACAGTATAATTAAGAAGTGGTTACCCATAAAATATACTTTGTCATCCGTCAACTTCTAAGAATTGACATCAAACAATTGGAAAAGGCCACCTGTGCCTCTATTTAAGAAATGACTGTCTGGTCCAAATATTCAAGTCTTGAGGGCAGAAAACAATGACAGAAGGTCCTACCTGCAATATCCGTTGATGATCTTGCCCGCTATGACACGCTCCAACGGCTTCCAGTATTTGGAGTCTCCAGATACAGGAGCCCCCAGGAGGATCACATCTTCCACAATACCTTCACACCCTGCAAGCCACACAACACGTAGTGAAAACATGAACTGGTGTTAGGAATCGGATTGGATCATTTTCCACAGAGCATGTATCAATCAGTCAATGGGTTAATTTACCCCGCATTTTCCAGAAATTGGTTGTAAAAGAACATTTTTTTAAACATGATTCAAATGTTTTCTTAATTTTATTCCATAAATGAATATACATGAAGGGTTGAATATTTATATTTAATATATAATTGTTTGTGTTTATGTGTAATTGTTTAAAGATCAAAGAAATGCTTGAATATTTTGAAAAAAGACTTGATATATAATTTAAAAAAATTCCCCATTCTTAATTATCCAGTGCATAATATCTCCATTCTCCATGTACCCCAGACATATTCACCACCATAGCTTCCTTTTCAGGCTGGTTTGAATTACATGACACTATTTAAAGATGTCCCATCATATGACACTATTCTTCATGATTTAAACACGCAGCCACATCACAAGTAAACATATGCATGCCGTCGCAAATACATTCGGCATGCCTTGTTTTGTAAGGACTTGTCACCACTGTCCTAGTACTCAGGAAAACATTTCTTTCCAGCTACAAAAACTGTCATAACATACATACAGGGCTCAAGGTTAAGGACGATGATGAACTCGCAGTCAGAAGAGGTATTCTGATTGGTTGTTGATTTCAAACTGATGAGCAAGAGAAATTCTGTATTTATAAGCCAATGATAAGAGAATCGGAGATGGTGGTGTCATTTCCAAAACGTAACCATGGCAGTGAATGGGTCATGGGTATTGATCAGTATACGAGTGGAGATTACACTGGACAATTAAGGATGCAAAGTCTTGTCTTATTTGCATTGGCACAGGGTAAACTATAAGTCACTAATTATTATCAATCACAGGTGAGGAGAGGTAAAATGGTTTAATGTTGTGTTTTAGGTTATTGCACTGATCTAGTCATGTGCATGCACATGTGTGTGTGTGTGTGACTGCTTCTATTTGTTCAGACTTATGCCGGTTTTATAGTGCTGGACCACTGACATATTTTTGTGCACGTTCTTTGTTTTATTCCCTTAATGCCAGGAAGGGTAACAACAAGTACCATCTCTCAAGTCTAAAGGCATGATGTGATAGAACCACTGAAACAAAACAACAATAGCTGGAATATTTCTTGATTTCACTTGAAAACAAACTCACCTTTTCTCTTGCAAAGTTCTTCCAGGCAAGTAAAGATGACCCTGGCTCCCAGACTGAAACCAATAAGTGTCACTGGCCTCTTCCCCTGGAAAGAGAATGTGAAATGATATGAAGCTAGAATGTGTTTTCACTCATAAAAACTGTCTGCCGCCTCCTTTTTTGATACATTTGTTTAAGTTGTTACTATAAAACTGTTTGCAAATCCGAAAAAACAATAATAGCCAAAAAATACTGGTACTCATTGATGCATTAATGAAGCAGCATTACAGTTGATGCCATTCTGACTCTTTATGGCAGCTAAGACTATTGAACCTGTAACAGCAGTTTGGATACTGGATTATATTGTGCAAGCAGATGTATGGTTTCTCAGTAGCTTCATGGTTAATAGAAAGACTCTTAAGAATTTCCAAAGTGTTCCGATGGAAACATAAGGAAATAATATTAAGAAAAAACTTAAAACAGTAAAAGGCATCAGTTATGCTGATGAGCAATGCAAATGACAAGTGTCGTCGAATGGTTTTCAAGTTATGGTTTAGGAAAAGGATAGGAACGCCAACAGTGACACTGACACTGACATCAATGCCAACAGGAACAGAGCCAAAAACAATAAAAACAATGTGACTCTCTCTTTTTTTCGGGCGGGGGGGGAGAGGAGGAGAGGTAATAACCATCACCAACTGTGTGTGATAGTGACTTTGGGCTTAGCCTTGTCAGATAATCTTATATTTTCAAGCAAACCACAGTAAAAATGTAACAGTAACAGCAGACATGGTGAATACTAAACACTGCTTATTGCAATCAAAATATCATAACACTTAGACCCTTAAATATTTTTTTGAAAAGCCCTGTTTAGAATTTTCTGCAACTGATTTCGAGGAAGATTACTTACAATAATATCACTTGCGTTTCTCGTATTCTCCCACTTGCACTTATTAAATGCTATTAATTCGTACAATATAATGAATTCTAAGTCTAATCTTGGTTTTGTACTTTGCTGATTGGACTTTTTTTTAATTTCAAAGGTTGGGCCACTGGCATTGAGACAAATGATAAATTAGTGACACATTATTCCGTGATTAACAGTGCCCATTACTTGCTCTCTGGCCAGCAGCACTTCAGCCAGCTGTTTTCCAGATGAGTTGGCTCTCTGCACAGCCACGCTCCAGGGGTTGTCAATCATGCTGGCTGCAGACAACAAGGCAGTCGGCCAGGCTATAGCAGCCAGCAGACCTACACAGGAAAACAGTTTAAATGCATTAAGACTTTTACATGCCAGTTAGAAAATAACAAGAGGACAAAGTCATCAATATCCCTCTCAATGGTAAATACTTGTCGTGAATATGTCAACCAGTTATACTGCCATGTAAACCTGAAAAATATATTTTTTTAAAATATCAACTTATCAAAAGGCACCAGTTCACCACTTGACCTATATATATGCCAAGTTTGGTGAAGAAATACTGTGCATTTTTCTGGAACTGCTCTGGCAACAAGCACTAGCCCATTTTCAGTCTAAGTCAAAGTTGTTGCCATGGAAACTAAAAAATACTGCTGCTCTCAGTCCTATTCCACACAATGAATGACTGTCAGGGATTAATCCCCTGGGTAAACAGCTGAAGGCATCGTCCGTGTAATTACTAATAAAGCATAAGGTGACACAACTTGTGGACACTGTAATCAAATGGATGAGCAGAAAAAAGACGTAGTGTATAAAAAATCTGAGGCGAAAGCAGACAGAGTGGTCCTTCGTCCCTTCGTCACAATCGTTGCCATTGCGTAGCGCTAAACACCAGGAATCCATTTAAGCCCGAGGGAGGGGAATCCCCTCAGTGGCATCTTTTTTGTTTGGGGGACGATTTTGCCTGGCATTTATGATTGACTGTTTTACGCTAATTCCAATTTTCAATTTAAATTAAGCATTAATGATTACGTATGCCCTAAAGTATTAAAATGCTCAAAGTTGCCAAGGGCTGAGGTCTTTTTTGTGCAGGCAGGTCATGTGAAACAGGGCTGAGGTAGTTTGGCATGTTTGGGGGCAGGATGTCATGATAAAACATATTCTTACAAGCTATGGAACCAATCTCATTTTTGCTGGATTATCTGACCTTTGAACCACTTTATACTGACAAGTTTGGCAGGTTATCTTTCATGGATCTGCCCATAAACATCCATCAGTATTTGTTGAAGTTGTATACTGTCTGGAGACCAAGGTAACAATAGTGAGATAACATTCCTTTTTCAATGTCCCTCTCAAAACTTCAAAGCCATACAAATAATTTGTTTCCAATTTGTGCATTTGGATGCAATGAGAAAAGTCTTTGGTTACTGAGTATAATACATGTAAATCACATACAAAATGACTTTTTAAACAGGTTTCAACTGGGGTTTTTCAAATTATAAAAAGAAAGTTTGAGCTCATTTACTTGGGATGGGGATTGATTAGAAACGTTACCCATTTTCAAGGTGTTTTTTAGCCTGTGTAAACCCTGATCTCAAATTCTCTATCAGAGTCTTGAGTTCTTGTTAAAGAGGGTGTGGGTGGGTGTCACAGTCAGCAAAGAGTCAGATTCATCATAGAGACCTCAAACTAATTTGGATGTGGTGGTACGGGGAGCCCACAGAAGGCTCAGGTTTGATTCCCCATTGGGTACAATGGGTGAAGCCCATTTCTGGTGTCTCCAGTTGTGATATTGCTGGAATATTGATAATACTGATGAAAGAGCTGACACTCACTCTAAATGATTGAAATCTTGACAAGGTAAACTGATACAAAAACAGTCAGATCACAAACTGTAACAAACCTATCCACATAAAGTCAGCTGTTATGCCAAGCAGGGGGTTCGAGCAAGCTAATCAGTGGATTTAAAAAATCATTGAAGTGTGACAGTACCTGAGAGTATTGTATATTTCAGTGCTTCCTGAGTTGCCATGGTTACAGCACCACTTAAGATATAATCAAAAGCCTTTCCCAGCTCAATGAGATACCTAGACTCCCATCTCAAACAATACTGCTCTCGTGATTCTGCTAAAGATTTCCATGGCTGACGGAAATCTGAAAAAATATCAACACACAGTGTTAGAAATCAAGGGATGTCCTGGATTCTTGAAACTAAATGTTTGGGGATCATTCAGTTAAGAAAAATTTGATTAATTCCTAGAGAATATCGTAAGATGATTCGATGTGTTTCAATATGTGCACTAAAAGTGTTTTATTAGTTTGGAGGAAGGCTACTGGTTAGTGTGTCCATTCATCTTGCACAGTGAGTTAATTAGGCAATAGACATACTGATTTTCAAATGTAGGGCTAGGTTACCTGTAGATTTATAAACCTACAGTGATGTCATCCTATTGTTCTTAAGTGGAAACCTCGCAAAAGTCAGTTGCTAGCATTTATTTCGAGAGAATGCCCTTGACTTTCTAACTAACTGAAGAGTTTTTCATCATCAAAGACTAATAAACATCCTTTTCACATGCATCTAATGTTGATTTTGTCACATGAAACTTCCATGATATGAATTGAACCAGCAGCCTCACACATCAGGAATGTCAGGCTCTGAGATCTAGATAAAGGACTGTTGATACTTATCAAAAGAATCTGTGGAAGTGAGTTATCAAAAGGTATATTTCACAAAATGTAAGTGTGGTATGATACAGCACAATAATCCAGGATATGGCTCATAACACAGTCACTGAGTCTATGTCAGTGGTACAAGTTACAAGTGCACTGTTATCGACATAGAGGAAGAGTTTACACCTTGCATGGTGCTGGAGAGCCAGCCAGTCACTGCCACTGTGATGTGCAGCTGCTTAGTGACCGATTCCATGTGTAGCTGTGCTCCAGGGATCAACGGTTCAAACTCAAACTCTTCAATTGCACCAACTCTTCTCTTCATCTTGTAGCCTGAAATAAAGCAATCAATACAAAATCAGCGCTATCACACCATTTTTGTTGGAACTTTGAAACATGGTCTAAGTTTCACAATTCTCAATGTCAGACAACAGCAGACAAGAGAACCTATACCAGTTATAAATATCAGTCCCACAAGAATAAAGATAGAAAATATGCAAGATCAGTTTTACACTAATTTGGAAATTCATGATATTATTATTCTTATCCTGACACAACATACTCAAATCTTTTTAGAAGAGGCTTCTTTTGGGTGCAGGAGTTGCTTAGCCATTGACTGGACACCCACAGCCTTACCACGTCTACAAACTACCCTTCGAGGATATAAAAAGATGAAAAGTCCACTGTCAACAACAAAGCTCCTACCAATTACCTACCATATTTTGTGCAAGCTTGTTTCAACACTCAGGAGAGGTCTCTTCGGACCCTATGTGGATCTGTTGATCGAAACTATGTCTGCCCTGGCCTTTTTTGCCTTTTGAAGATGTGGAGAGTTCACATGCTCTCAAACCTTCGACCCAGAAGCGAACATGTGTTTGAACTCTATAATCATGGACACTACTCGTGTTTTACATATTGCGACTGAAAGCCTCAAAAACAGATCCATTTCGGAAAGGAGTTAACATTCTACTCTAGCTACACAAGCTTATGTGCGTCCTGTCCGCTGTATGCGACGGCTTATCAAGATCAGGCACATACATGGCGCTAGTCTAACAGCCCCATTATTCATGGACTTCACGTCTGTACCAGTTAATAGGACCAAATGTTTATCCTGGCTAGCCATGAAATTGCGTCGCTCCGGACTTAACTCGCATTTCGGGGAATGGATAGGAGCCGCAACTTCAGCGGCCAGTGCCCATGTGGAAGACCATCTCATCAAGACCTTAGGGCGCTGGTCGTCTGATTGTTATAATAGGTACATTCGTACTTCAGGCTATGCTCTCAAGCAAGCACAGCTGGCAATGTGTAATATACCCTAGTATACTTACAGCAATCTACTTGTTGTGTGTAATTTCAGTATTGCATTCACCATTATTTATTTTGCATTACTATGCCTAATCAGCCCTTACTCTAGACTTCATCGTGCCATTTCTCACCTATGTCATGTTCTATTATACTGTATGTAATATTTCTTCTACCATGATTTTCTCTATTATATTTTATTCCTTGGGGGCTCTCGGTTGCTCGTTCTTACAAACTCCCAACCTCATTTTGGCTTTCCCCCCCAACTCAAAGGGAGCAGCCACATTCACACCACGGGATAGTCCGGGTCGCTGTGACCCCTGGTCTGGTGGACCCCAGGGATGACCGGGTTGCGGTGACACCAGGACTGGTAGATCCCAGGGATGACCGGGTTGCAGTGACCCCTGGTCTGGTGGATCCCAGGGATGACCGGATTGCGGTGACCCCTGGTCTGATAGATCCCAGGGATGACCGGGTTGCGGTGACCCCTGGTCTGGTAGATCCCAGGGATGACCGGGTTGCAGTGACCCATGGTCTGGTGGATCCCAGGGATGACTGGGTTGCGGTGACCCCAGGACTGGTAGATCCCAGGGATGACCGGGTTGCGGTGACCCCTGGTCTGGTAGATCCCAGGGATGACCGGGTTGCAGTGACCCCTGGTCTGGTAGATCCCAGGGATGACCGGGTTGCGGTGACCCCTGGTCTGATAGATCCCAGGGATGACCGGGTTGCGGTGACCCCTGGTCTGGTAGATCCCAGGGATGACCGGGTTGCGGTGACACCAGGAGTGGTAGATCCCAGGGATGACTGGGTTGCGGTGACCCCAGAACTGGTAGATCCCAGGGATGACTGGGTTGCGGTGACCCCTGGTCTTGTGGATCCCAGGGATGACCGGGTTGCGGTGACCCCAGGAGTGGTAGATCCCAGGGATGACTGGGTTGCGGTGACCCCAGAACTGGTAGATCCCAGGGATGACTGGGTTGCGGTGACCCCTGGTCTGGTGGATCCCAGGGATGACCGGGTTGCGGTGACCCCAGGAGTGGTAGATCCCAGGGATGACTGGGTTGCGGTGACCCCTGGTCTGGTGGATCCCAGGGATGACTGGGTTGCGGTGACCCCAGGAGTGGTAGATCCCAGGGATGACTGGGTTGGGGTGACCCCAGGAGTGGTAGATCCCAGGGATGACTGGGTTGGGGTGACCCCAGGACTGGTAGATCCCAGGGATGACTGGGTTGCGGTGACCCCTGGTCTGGTAGATCCCAGGGATGACTGGGTTGCGGTGACCCCTGGTCTGGTAGATCCCAGGGATGACTGGGTTGCGGTGAACCCAGGACTGGTAGATCCCAGGGATGACTGGGTTGCGGTGAACCCAGGACTGGTAGATCCCAGGGATGACTGGGTTGGGGTGACCCCAGGACTGGTAGATCCCAGGGATGACTGGGTTGCGGTGACCCCAGGAGTGGTAGATCCCAGGGATGACTGGGTTGGGGTGACCCCAGGACTGGTAGATCCCAGGGATGACCGGGTTGCGGTGACCCCAGGAGTGGTAGATCCCAGGGATGACTGGGTTGCGGTGACCCCAGAACTGGTAGATCCCAGGGATGACTGGGTTGCGGTGACCCCTGGTCTGGTGGATCCCAGGGATGACCGGGTTGCGGTGACCCCAGGAGTGGTAGATCCCAGGGATGACTGGGTTGCGGTGACCCCTGGTCTGGTGGATCCCAGGGATGACTGGGTTGCGGTGACCCCAGGAGTGGTAGATCCCAGGGATGACTGGGTTGGGGTGACCCCAGGAGTGGTAGATCCCAGGGATGACTGGGTTGGGGTGACCCCAGGACTGGTAGATCCCAGGGATGACTGGGTTGGGGTGACCCCAGGACTGGTAGATCCCAGGGATGACTGGGTTGCGGTGACCCCTGGTCTGGTAGATCCCAGGGATGACTGGGTTGCGGTGACCCCTGGTCTGGTAGATCCCAGGGATGACTGGGTTGCGGTGAACCCAGGACTGGTAGATCCCAGGGATGACTGGGTTGCGGTGAACCCAGGACTGGTAGATCCCAGGGATGACTGGGTTGGGGTGACCCCAGGACTGGTAGATCCCAGGGATGACTGGGTTGCGGTGACCCCAGGACTGGTAGATCCCAGGGATGACTGGGTTGCGGTGACCCCTGGTCTGGTAGATCCCAGGGATGACTGGGTTGCGGTGAACCCAGGACTGGTAGATCCCAGGGATGACTGGGTTGGGGTGACCCCAGGACTGGTAGATCCCAGGGATGACTGGGTTGCGGTGACCCCTGGTCTGGTAGATCCCAGGGATGACTGGGTTGCGGTGAACCCAGGACTGGTAGATCCCAGGGATGACTGGGTTGGGGTGACCCCAGGACTGGTAGATCCCAGGGATGACTGGGTTGCGGTGACCCCTGGTCTGGTAGATCCCAGGGATGGCCGGGTTGCGTTGACCCCTCGTCTGGACATTCCAAGTCCGGGTCAGGAGCACCCCAGGACACTGACACCTCTCTGTGGCTACCTCTTCCAAATCATCATTCTCATTAGCAGAAACCGAGTCAGCCCCCATTTTTGCCAGAATATTAATAAATTTGTATTTTTATCATACTACTTGTTTTGTTGTCGTTGCACAAAAGATAGAAAATATGCAAGATCAGTTTTACACTAATTTGGAAATTCATGATATTATTATTCTTATCCTGACTCAACATACAAGTATCTCTTCAGAAGAGGCTTCTTTTGGGTTCTGTGTTACATGATCAAAGAGAAGATGGAGATTGCAACATGTTACGTCAGGATAAGAAATAATAAAGAATTTCAATGTATAACACCTCTAAACCAAACATATTTCCAACTATTTCTGTCCATTCATTCTGTGCAGGTTAAACTAAATAAATTGACTGGCACTGAAACATTTCCCAATAGCTAGTAGGATCACATGGGCTTAAAAATAAGTGTTCCCATTTGCATTTGACTTGTGCAAGAGTGCATTTGTCATACTCAATATGCTAGATACCTAAGTAATAATTATGTAAAAAAGTGCCAAAAATTTATAACAACTGCAGCAATGGTCCTGACATCTTCCCAAAGCAAGAGAGTTAACTGACTTTAATAGTCCAGTTTCCACCCTTGCCAAACTTGGCTGGAATTCCTGGGCTTGATCATAGCGCCACCAGTGGATATTACGAGTTGTGTCCCTTCTAAGCCTCTCCCATGGACCAATCGGATTCCACCTCTCGTATCAATTGCATTTGGTTCAAACAAAATGGCGGCGCCCAGTGAAGATGATCTGATCGATAATCAAGATCTATATTGCGATAAAATGAGTCTTACATTTTGAAGTGCATCAAATCACGCGAGCACCTTGATTACAAATATGAAAAGATCTGGAAAATATCTGTTGACAACGAGTTGGCGGTGCACATGCTTTGCAAATCCTGCAATCGACCGAAATCTGCACAACAGTTTACGAACCGGATTTTGATTTCGATGCACAATTTTGATTGGACTATGCATAGACTCATTAGTCCAGCCAAAATGTAATTCCATAATACCAGCCTAGTTCGGCAAGGGTGGAAACTGGACTTTTATAGTCAGTTACCTCCCTTGCCTCAGGAAGATCTGGTCCTGAGTGAATGAGTGATTACACAATCCCACAATCATAGGTTTCTGTCATGCCTAAGGCATGCAAACTCTGGTCAGTGAATTGCGGTGCCTTAGACGACTGGGTTACCAGTGACTCCGATGGTCCTGAGAGCTAAACCTGTTTGCTCATTGAAGATTCAAGGTGAGATTTGCAGTTTTTCAATGGTCTATATCTCTTACATATTTCGATGAGAGAAATATTTTACATATGGGCTTTGTTCAATAAATAGAGAATCTCACCCAAGAGTCCGCTGATATCAAATTTATCCTCAAGAGTTGACATAAAACTTTTTTCCACAAGTGTTGATGCATATGCTCTCAAACGACACAGGCGTGCCATTCTATTTATCATACAAAATCATACTTCCAACTTTTTCTGTAAACAGTAACAGCCAGTGTCTTGAGAGTAATAAGTACAGCTCCTGAGCTAGCCATCTGCAGTGGCAGAGATATTCGTGATCAGGGATCGATTTCGTCATAGCCAAGCTGCACCAGTGCAGGTGAAACCTTGCTTGTGTAGGAGACTCTTATTGCCAGGATGCACCCAGGGCAGGTAATATTTCCCACCACAGCAGTTATATTTGATAAAAGTGGAAAACTGAATTCTTTTAGAGCTGGCTGCAAATCTTTTCAAATCCAGGAAATAAAAATTCATGAAATACTAGCAGTGAGATGATACAACAATGCATCGGTGGATCACGATTTTTTACTTCTCGAAACAAGTATTGATCACAATCGCACACGAAGTAAAAAGTATCGATTCTTATCTTAAATGTAGTTTTAAATAAACCTGTGACATCTCCTGTGAAAGCCAGGATGGGATGATAAGTTTAATAACCATACAGTAAAATTCTAGTAAAATCCTAGATATTTTTTATATTTGTATACTTATCCTGCATTACTCCTTTATGCATATTACTGCTTGTTCTTGACAGAGAAAAGAGCTGTGTGAAGGTCTTTGCTTGGAGAAGTTGTTCCAACTAGCTGAGAGGCCAACCCTATCACGCAGTAATATGCATTAAGGAGTAATGCAGGATAAGTAAAAAATAATGTGAGATAATACTCACTAAATCAACACACATGGATGTCTACACCACCAGTTGCAGTGTCACAGACATGATGATCCTATAACAAATGTACAATACAGCACACAAGCCTCTGATTACCTGTAAGTCCAGCCCCTGCTACACCAAACAGGGACCCGATGATGGCCACGCCCGCTGTAGTCCCCAGTGCCGCTGCCCCAGCTCCACCAATCAGGGCTCCAGCTCCGGCTGCCACCAGTGGGGCTGCCAGGCCTCCAGTCAGACCTGTGATTATCACACATCATGTGTACTCATTTGGCTGGACGACACACAGTATTGATACCATACATATCCAGCCCTTTTCCTCTGGGAGCCATTTGGCTCCTTTTAAAGTGAAAAACCTTTGGAGCCAACTGGTTTTATTAGCAGCCAGATTTATCTATACATAATATACTCACCACCAAAAGAAAAACAAATAACATACATGTTGGTTAATATATGAAGAATATATTACTCATATTCAAGATATTAGATTGGTTTGATGCACAAACGAACATACTATTATGTTGTGTGAACCGATGCTCATGAACACATGATCCCTTACTCGAGATGCACCGTTCGACTCGTGCAGGATTAGAATGAAAAGTTTGGAAATTGTGAAAAGAATAAAGACACTCTGTGGTAACACATGATCGGTTGTTAGTTTTGTCATTAAGTGGTACACATTGGAAACATCTCTTCTTAACATCGATACTTCTCTATATTTTCTGAGTGCGAGTTTCATGTGGGTTGGAAGCACCCAGACCAGGCAGGCACCATGATTTGTCATCCATTCCCCCACAGATGGTGTTTAGTTGTACAATCTTAGGGATTCAACGGATATGTATTTAAGACATTCCTGAAAACCATGTTCACAAATGATCTGTACATACCTATGAGTGTTCCACCTCCTATTGTGGCGAGACTGATGAGGGCTATCCTCTTCACTTTACTTTTTGTAGCTTCTCTCTTCTTTTCTTTGATCTCTTCACTGTAAAACCATATCAAACCATGTATCAAGCTTATGAAAAAGAAACCATACAAATTACACAGCTTCTTTTCTTACCAGTTACATTACTTGCAAACAATTCCATTCTAAAAACTTATTTTGTACTCAAGTGCTCTCTTTTTTGAAAGGTGCTTATTTCAAATTTAATTTCAATTTGACATGGAATACTAAATAGTTAAGTGGTCCACAGTGGTGAATCCGGAGGCGTGGGGGTATACAAGAATTCAGCTACAGCTTTAGAAATTGGCACTAGTCCCGTTGTCCTTGCCATTTTTCAGGGTCTTGCTATATGTTATCATTATAAGGACTAGTGGACTAAAAAGGTTAGTTTCAACTGCTGAGCTATGCATTCTGTCAATTCCCGCTTTGCTGTTTACCGATACACAAGCTATATACTACTTTGTTGGACTAGAGGCAAGTAATTTGCCGTCCGTCAGGTGCACAAGAACTCAGCTATGCTCTCTGTCCTGCTTTGCAGTATACTCAAGTTATACACTACTTTGCAGGAGGTAATTTATTATATGTCTATCATGTAACAAATGGCAGTTACTCACTCTGTCCTGACGTATTGGTTGCTTCCGAGCGTCTCCGCCAGCTGACACTCGATGTCCTCCAAGATGTCCCAGCTGACGCGGAGCTGCCAGGCAGCATGCTTCACAAACACACGCATACGGGAATCATAGCACCCTGAAACACACACCAGTTTACAGGTCTTTGAATCGAGGGGCGGTCGGGTAGCCTAGTGGTGAAAGCGTTTGCTCGTCACGCCGAAGACTCAGGTTCCTGACATAGGTACAATGTGTGAAGTCCATTTCTGGTGTCCCCCAGTGTGTTATTCTTGGAATATTGCTAAAAGCAGTGTAAAACCATACTCACTCACTCTTTGAAGTGAAGCATGATGGGTCCTTGTCACAACCCTCGTGCTAAAATTCGAGGGGTCCCTAGATGCCAAAATTGTTGGAACAAACTTCAACAGGGTTGATACAGATCAGTCCTTAACAAATCAAGGACTTTTCAAGGCTTTTTCAAGGCACATATAGTCAAATTCAAGGCAAATATCCAAGATCGCAAACGCATTCATTCGGTAGAACACAGATAATTCATGAAATGATCATGCAAATGAGGTATGCAAAATAAGCTATGAAGTTTAAATTACTTGTTATTATGATGCAATGCATTATGCATACGTTTGTGGACATTCAGAAGCATAGTTGTGTTTCATATATAAATAGTCGAGAGAAACTTGATATATTTAGGGTATAATTTATGGTCTCCTTAAGTCGTGGTGTTTATTTCCAGGCCTTTTCAAAGACAATGCCGATTTGATTTAACGCCTTTTCAAGACAAACTCTAAATTTCAAATCTTTAATTTTGAACATTACATTGAATGAGTCCACTGAACACTGAGATCAGGTGTCCCATGTTTAGTTTAACCCCAAAATATTGTATAGGTGGAGAGTGAGTGAGTGAGTGAGTTGTGTTCAACGCCGCTTTTAACATTATTCCAGTTATATCACGGCGTGTCAGCTTCATGTGGGAGGAAGGCCCGAAGTGATACATGTCTCAGATGTTTACCACTTTGGTGAAACCCACAAGCACAGGTATGGTGCTGACAAACCTAGAAACATAATCGAGGCGAACCGGGATTCATAGTTTTCTGGCGTGTCCAAAGGACGCAACTCTGCACAGCTAATGCCTTAGCCTTAGACGACTGGGCCACCGGTGCCCCTGTATAGGTTGAGAGGAAAAAATTGATCTGGCTTTGAAAGATTTGGTTTATGTAACCTGCAACACAATTATGTAATTATTTTGGAACATAGATAATGAGTTACATGTGTACAGGATTTCATGAGCAGAATGGGCTTGTACACCATGAGACCACACTATGAACATGAACCTTCTATTTGTAGAATCTGTTTAACCCTGCAAGTGACAAATGCAATCATTACGAGACATAAATGACAAAGATTTATGTTTGGCGAAAAAAATTCTGTGACAATAATTCTATCTTGTGACCTCGATTAAACATTCAGTATGGTAATTCAAAGTATGTGATGGATCAATCATGGCATGACAACCAAGTGGCATCAGATGAAAAATTAAGTCATCATGACATCCGTACCGAACCAGCTAACCGACTTGTGTGGACCAGAAAGTTAAATTCTTTAATAAGTAGTGATAAATGGCACTGCAAATACCTTTGGTGATTGCCATAGTGACGAGGTCAGTGACAATAGGATCCCCATTATTGTTTAGCACTTCTTCTTCAAAAAGCAGATCCACATATGGGTTGGTCTCCTCGACTCCCTGGCCAGCGAGAAGGGCCTGGATGGATTCACATACCTGCAGAAGAGGAGTTCAGCATTTCTTCAAAAGGTGAGGTGAAATAGGTGAGATGAGGTGAAATTGGGTTTAACATGGTGTCCAAGATTATTGCACTTATATAGCGACGTGCATGCACGTGTGTGTGTGGCTGCTTGTACTAGTTCGGACTAATGCTGATTTATAGTGCTAGCTCACTGACATGCCATGCTGCATTTTAACATGAATAGCCCACTCGGACACAGTATACTGACTCCGAGCCGACCAGTCCTTGTTTTAGCCCCTTTGTGCAAGTGCCAGGCAGGGTAACAACAAGTACCATATTTTAACGTCTTTAGGTATGACGCAGTCGGGGATCGAAACCCCGGACCTTCCGCTCTCCGGACGGACGCTCTACCACTAGACCACGGAGGCGGTCGGGTACCAACAGGAATACCCAGACCTGTGCATGTCTTTGCACGTATTCCTTCTGACTTTTATATGTTGGAATAAAGATAAAACAGTCAACTTCAGTGTATGCATGACCAGATTGTTTTATACATGTATCTAAATACATTTTGCCAGGGCTATGGTAAAAAAAATTCCTAATCAGACATCTCTTGAGACCTTTTAACGTCTTTTGGTATGACGCGGCCGGGGATCAAACCCCGACCTTCCGCTCTCTGGGCGGATGCTCTTACACAAGACCACAGAGGCGGTCAAGGTGAAATAGGGTTTTATGGTGAGTTAAACATTGTAGCACTTCCATAATAATGTGCATGCTTGTGTGTGGGTGTATGTGGCTGCTTGTACTACTATTAGGCCTCTGAGAAACCATGCCACAGTGTTACATGGATACCCCACTCAGACACAGTATACTGATTCCGAGCCTTCAGTCCTTGTTCTATCCCCTCATATCTGAGCATCAAGAAGGGTAACAAGTACCATATTTTAACGTCTTTAAGAATGAGGTCGGGGATCGAACCTTGAACTTCCGCTCTCCAGAGTACAGAAATTTGCCTCCCTGATGTCCCCCCAAAATGTTAATGTTATAAGAGGTTTTACTCTTTATCTAAAGAGAAATTTGCCAGTTTACCGTTAAGCAGAAGCGTTAATCTGTATTAAAGATATAGTTTTATTTAGAGATATATACTTTCATATTTATAAATTACGTAATACATCCACATGCCATGCCACTATTGTACTCATGTTATATGAAAGAAATTGTTCTCTTGGCCATGAGGCCTTCAATACTCTCTCTCCCTCTGTCTCTCTCATATGCTTCGAGGTTCGTCATAGATTTTCGATATCCCCTGATTTACTTGTATCAGATTTCATTATTTTCAGTGTTATTCCTTGTTTGAAAATAGTATGGACTTGTAAGGACACATTAATTAACCCATGGTGCCTCAAAGAATGCAATTTATTTACCTGACTTGGTTGATCCAAGTGTTTGAGAATAGCATTTAAAGTGTCTTCTTTGAAATTCCTGAAAAATACAACATGCAAACAGATCATACAATCTTGTTTTTGAACAACTGAACATTGTAGGACTACCTCAAATCTACCAAGGCAAAATATATGCAAACTAATTGATGATAGTGGAAGTGATTGATTGTTTATTAAGTAAAATTCAACATTTGAAATTAACAACCATTTGAGTTTGAGAGAAAAGTGCCTTCAAGTAAATATTTTCTTCCAGTCTTGCACTTGTCTACAAATTACTGGCCTTATGTAAATCATTACTGCTAGTGGATTAATCTGAATACAGAATTCTAACATGTCAAGGTAGAATGGTGAACGTAATGAATGTTGTCAGTGTTCTCGTTTACAAGTAATTACCGGTACCAGTTTTTGGCTGTAAAAATTAGGCTTGGACCAGTAATTCTTGTGACTGCCAGTCCCTGTGGACCGGCAAATAAGGTATCTTTGTAAATCTTTGTTGTTGAACAAAACATTGTCAAAAACATATACTTTCGAATGGAGTCAGCTTGTCTTTTATCATCAGGGTTTCCCATGGTCTATTTTTAGTGCAAGGAAATATCCTAAATATCTATTTGTAGTGACTTAGTCTTGAATCAAAGTGAAATATTCAGGAAAAAAAGAGAAATTGTGATTGAACTTTCTGTGAATGCAGGGTTAGAAATTGGCACTAGTCCTATAGTCCTTGCCAAACTGCCCAATGGTAAAGGTACCCTGAGGACTAGTAGGAAATTGCCATTTTTAAGGGTTTTGCTATATGTTCTCATTATGAGGACTACTGGACTAAAACTGTTAGTTTCTAATGCTGGAATGACATGTAGATCAAAATGATTTACTTCAGAAATGACAGAATTTGTCACCTATAAAAGTAAACTGCATTGAATTTTCAAAGTTGGGACTGACAGAAATTGGGTGGGACTGGTAATTGTTTTAGTTGTCAGTCCACTGGGACTGGCAGTTGAAAAAGCCAGCAGGAACACTGGTTGTAATGCAAATGTGAAGAGTTAAAATATGACACAGCAATTGTATTGAATGTACAGGAAGTGATATATTACCTGTGCCAACTGTCACCAAACAAAAGACGAAGTGAAACAGCGCACAATGCTGCATAAGAGTACTGTCCAACATCAGATAGGAGTTTATGGATAGGTTTGCTTGGTGTGAAGGAATCTGAAAAACAAGCTTAATTTATTACTAACAAAAATATCCTCATTGTCTCATTGATGTTGGTGAATGCAATTTCACCAAATAACATTACTGTCTTTTCTGCTTTACTTTACTGTACTTTAATTTAGTGAATGATAGACTGACTACAGGGCTGGGAAGATTCCAAATGAACTACCCAGGTACCTGATCCCCTCTTTCCTGACCCTACCTAGGAACCCGCTGTAGGTCTCAAGTTGGTTATAAAATGTCCGACTGGGAATTGTTTCATTGGAGCCTCAGCAAACACTACTTAGATACACGTACAAAACGATCTGATCATGCATATGCTGAAGTCAACTGAAGCTTTATATCTAGTCAAACATAAAAAAAAGTCAGAAGGAATGTGAGCATAGTCAGAATGTTGTAGTGTAACCAGGGAATTTTATTGCAATTATTATTAAACAATATATCACATGACAAACCACAAGTCCAGGTAGTCCTGTTATTTACCCTAATCAGATATGTCGGATCTGTATTGATGAGCATAAAACTATATATAATAGTAATAAAGCATAACAGTCTAGTTACCTCAAAAACACACATTACAGTACAGTACAAGTGTATAAGAAACGATGGGTCTGTCATTGTCAATATGGTGAACTCTGACGTTGGATTAAAAACAACCTGGCAGTGCAGTAGGGGCTCATACAATAGAGGAAATATCAGCTGGAGAAGGCTAAATACTACCATCGAGCCCTAACACATGCTAACAGTGACTTCTGTACATGGTTTCTGCTGCTTAAGTCTAACCTAAACCAGTCCTAAAGCATCAGTCAACTTCACTAACTTAGTGAAGTTCTAACTCAAGCAACAAGTGACTTGGTTGGAGGGTCTTCCCCCCCAAAAAAACTCCACTTCAATCTGAAACACGCATGAAATGGGTTTTAACAAATCATGCTTTTCTATGGAATAGTAAAACCGCAATGTGGATATACAAACTGGCAGATGGTGGTTCATGCTTTCTTTGGACATCACTCCCATCTGTCAGAACTTTTTGTTTTGATGACAATATGTCATCAACATCATCCCCATCCGCCATGTCGTCTGCTAATGACGACAGCGCATGTCACTCACCACAGCTTCCGCTTCCGACCTGCGTCACTCTTACTTCCGTCAATCTCCCAGGTAAGATCAACAAAATGCAATCACTCAGGTGTGTTCTGTTTGTTTATTGACAAGCTTCTCTGAAGCACGCGGTGACAACTTTCGAAATGATTTATGCTTAGTTTGACATGCAGTACAGACTTAACAGGTCGTCAATTCAAGTTTTCATATTTAGATGACCGGCATCCGCTGTCATTTGTCCTCATTTTCGCTATAACTTGTTTTTCCAGGTTTGGCGATGGAGTATTTATGGAAGTCGCTGACATATCATTTGTATATGAATAGAGTGTCAACTTAAGAGTGATTCAGATCTAGGGTCATCCACCATCATACAGGTTGCCCTAACATGCCCGGTCGCATTAGAGGAGGACACACGTACAACTACAGCATGACGAAAAAACAAAAACAAACCACGGAACACGATGTTATCACAGCCAAAAAGAGGGAAGAGAGGGCTGTGCGAGAAGCGTATAAGAAGGAGAGAAAAATAGAATCATATCTTGCTGATGATGAAAATTTTCCAAGTTTTGCCACAGAGTTGGCTAAAATGGGATTACAACTTCGCGACATTCCCGGTGATGGGTAAGTAAAGCACTTTTAATAATTTTATTTTTTATTACCATGCAAAAACAGCAAGAGGTTTTTGCGTCAAGGGTTTTCAGATGAAAACAATTGGTCTTACTTTTGCATAGTGAGTGACAGGGTTAAGCATCCAAAAGATGATTTTTGATACTGCATGACATGCTGTCACCTGGTCACCCTACACATTTTCAAGATCATGTGATAGATACTGGCTCTGGGTAATGGCAGTGTAACAAGTCTGTGAGGTATTTATGTATCCCAATACTTTGAATAATGAGCATGGAGATATCTTTGCACTTGTTATGATATCTGTGTATCATCACAAAATACATGTACAGTGTTAGAAATTATGAGGTCCATGAACATGTTGATATAATGTGCTACTATATAATTTTAGGAACCCCTAAGTCTATTATTTTTCCATTAGAGCATGTGCTTCTTGCACCCCTTGCTTCTTGATTTTGAATTAATATACGATATATGATAATCACATGATAATATAGACACAGTATGAAAATAAACTGAAGACACAAAAGTGTATATGTTTGTATGCTTAGCAGCATGAGGATTAGTTAAATTCAACATGCTTAAGAGTTGTCAAGGTTTTTGAATTCAGTAAACATGCTGAGTTTTCTTAAATATGTTTTTGTTTTGGTCTTTAATCATTCTCTTTTATGGTGTCAACTTTAGGTTTCACCATGATCATCATGAAAATTTTGCAACTTTACAAGTCATGCTTATTCTCCGGAGATATGCCACATATGACCATGATGACCAAAAGACATTCCCTTAAACATATCTTCAGAGCAGCATGAAACCAAACTCACTCATTGTTTGACGTTTCATTAAACCCTCTGATTTTTCAAGGGTTGAATTTGAATATATAAGCATTCAGGGTGCCACATTGTATAATGTTACAGGTGAACAGTCTCATGTCATGGGTATCTGTTAAACATGCATTTGAATATATTACATTATTTCAAAAGTGTAGATGAATACATGTATCAAATGTTCATTGCAGATCAGTATTACTTCAGGCGTTACATATTTTAGAGTCAGATTGATATGACAGGGATTTATCAGAGATTCCAAACTATGGCAATTTTTTTTAAAAATTGGAAATTTGTAATTACAATTTGGGGATTTTTACAGACATTTGCTGCAGACTTGGGGCTTGATACCAGCCTCTGAGCAGGTCTACATAAATACTTGTATGACCTGCTAAAAGTTATAAATAAGTATATCTAGGTGTGAACATGTTTGTTTCAATTCTGTGATTTGTTTTGTAAGTTATTCTCATTTTGTATGAAACTGTATTCATGTTGTTAGATCAAATTAATTCTAACCTACATACTCAGTCATCTGTTGACAACATGGCAGCCATAGCTGAGATTATCATTCCTTTATGATCACTGTTTGAAGTTGGAGACCTGGGGACTGAAAGGCAGTGATTAATCCTCATGGCATGTTCACATGTATACAGAGAAGGATTTGGGTTAGTCACCATATATTTCTGAAAAAAAGTGTTCACAAGTGGAAAGCATCTTCATTAGTTAAGGTCTCATGCCCACGATACAGCACAATGATGGGCTTAACTGCTCAGAGTGACACCATAATGCTTGGGTTGCTCTGACTCTTCATCCAATGTTTGATCATCCGTCTGTTGGGTCACTTCATGCTAAAGCATTGGCTCGTCATGCTGAAGGCCTGGGTTTGAATCCCAACATGGATACAATGTGTGAAGCAGATCTCTTGTGTGTCTACCATGTCTACTGTGATGTTGCTGAAATATTATCAAACATGTTAAAAGCTCTGTAAAATAACTAAAATAGCAATCATTCTACATGTTCTAAGCTTCTGACAGATTATTTACAAATTAAACTTTTTTAAGTGGCATTTAGAAGTTGGTATGATGAACAAGGGAGATAATTCTATGGATATTCATCTACATGGAAGTTCTATGGATATACAACTATATGGAAGTCGTATATCCATAGAACTATCTCCCTTTTTGAAATTGTTCGTCTCAGTATGAACTTTGAATGTTAGACGACTGGAATTAAGATAAATGATTATCGCCACAAATCTGAAGCCTGAGTCTTATACATTTTCATTTGGGCAAATGATCTTTGCTTTTGAAAGTCCATACAAAAACCATTTGAACACTAACATGTAAGGTTGGGTAGACGTGGTTAATTCAAAGGTTTTGGGCACAGTATTCAAGTCTTGTTCAGAGGGGTCAACTCAAAAGTATCTCGTTATCCAGAATTTGAATGGTCCATCTTGTGACTCAAATATTTTCATTGCCAACATGTTGTGTGATTGCATTTAGATGCACATAGGCGGATCCCGAACCCCCCTACTCTACCCCCTTTTGAAATCCAAATATGGTATAGTGTGTTGTAAGGCAGTAAAATTATCTGAGAGAGGATTTTGATATTTTGGACCCTTCCCTTTACAAATGCTGGATGTGCCCTTGATGCCTCCTCTTGATCAATGTGAAATAAGTACTGTATGCAAAAGTAATAATGTTAATAGTTTTACATGCTGATAAGCAATAATAAACAGTAATTTATTCATTGATGTGTCGATACTGTGATGTGTGCGGAAGCAATTAGCAGTCTGTGGCTGTGACATGTGTGTGTTGACAAGCTGATCAGTCGCGGGTCAGTGAGTTAGTGATCTGTCACTGAAATATTTATACAACAATTATATGTTTAGCTAAACCAGGTTATCAGGGGGTCAGAATGACATTATTATTTATCGTTTAATTGTGAATGACCTCTGACCACTGTATTTACACCTGAGATTGTGATAGCAGTCGTTTCACAATCACGTCGTCACCTATTTCACAAGTAGCAGTAAGGTGTGTGGTGATCATCAAGGTGTTAATGTTGTTAGTCAAATGTGCAGGATTAACTGACAGCTGTCAATCAAGGTACTGATTAGGTGTTAATAGCATGTGGTAATTACTTGACACTGTGCATAACCCATGATGTTTAGTTGAGGTCAACTTCAGAGCCTGTAAACCATTGACAGATAATACCTGATATGTATGATAAAGAAAAATTATGATAAGGCAGAAAAATAATTTCAATTTCAAATATTGTTCAATACTTCACACAAAACATTAGCATTGTCTTTGTGTTAAATGATTCCCCCTAATTCACTCAAACTTATCAATAATTGATTGTGAAAAAACAAATTCTATTCCATTAAGAAACTAGCATATTTACATCACATTATAAACACACATTCCTAATTTAAAGTGGTTGGGGTGGCCCAGTTGTCTAAGGCGCTGCAATTTGCCGAACAGAGAGAGTTGCACCCCTTGGGCATGCCCGAAACCTATGATTATGGGTTCGAATCCTGGTTCTCCCCACCCCAAACGTCTGAGACCAAAATCACTGTGTGCTTTCCCCCACATTAAAGCTGCCACACTCTGATATAACTGCAATACTGTTCACCAACTCACTCATTCCTTCATTTGATTTCAAACTTACATTTATTAAACAACAAATGTACATTCATTCATGTACATTCTGTAAATCAAGAAATGAATGTGAAATATGTGAGTGTGACTCTTCCTGTCATTAATCATGTTAATATAGTGACAGATGGACATATTGGTGTTTATTGCCTTGTCAGGTTCACTCCGTATGGGCGGAACAATGACATACATAGCAAAGCTCACAGAAAACAATGTAACTGAGTGCTAGATTTAGTGTTTCTCACCAAGTTCAGTGTCAAGTGTAGTCAGTTTGTTTATTCAAGTTCGAGTCGCCAGCCGTGAATGACAGCGTCCCTGTTGTGAAAGTAACCTTGTCAAATAATCTCGTAATTACAAGCAAAACACTTGTCACCCACGTCGTGAGCATGGCCAGAACAGTAAGAGCAGTTGTGGTGAATACAAAACACTGCTCATCTACATTCAAAGGATTGTGTCAACTAGCATTACAACACTTGAAACCTGTACATTCTTCTTCAGTGACCTGACCTGATCTCATTTCAGTATGTCTTATTTAGAATCTCCTACTTTGATTTCATTGACGCTAGATCACTTGTAAAGCAGTTGAAGTTAAGTTTATTCAGTGAAGATTGCAAATGTTGTTCAGTTGTACTGCCACCACCCTTTACTACATCGTGGTATTCTAAGGCAGCAGTTTGGGGGATGATCATTTACTGATTAGATTTTAGGGTAACCATGGTAACTCACATTAAATTCAAGACATATATTAGGCCATGGATCCACATTTGCATTAATTTGGTGATGCATTAAGCAGTGATTAACAGTATTTTACAAAAGTGACTAAAACAACTTCAGAATGAATTTCTAATTGTGTTGCAATGATACAGTTTCAATGGGAAGTTAATACAGATGCTAGAACGAGAACAGCTGCAGACAAAACCCAATAACAAAAAGAAATTCAGAAAAAAACTCAATGAATGCTTTGACATGCATCTGGGTCTCTGAAAATATATAATCTTGACAGAATTAAATAGCTCCATTAAAATTGAAAGAGAGTCCCAGTGAGATGATAGATTCAGAACCTGAGGAAAATCTAGACTTGCTTCATTTCGTGCTTTTGCTTTACAGAAAGGGCTGGACGGAAGGGAAAATAATATGGTTCAGGGACTGAGACAGACTATCTATTGTGCATGAGCATCACCTCTCCCCCAGACCAGAAAACTCCCCTCCCTTTAGCATGTTTAGCATGTTTAGCCCACAATACCTTGGTATCATATCAGTAACCGTGAAGATCCTGTCGCAAGAGGCAACTAACAGGAATTGGGTGGTCAGGCTCGCTGACTTGGTTGATGTATGTCATCGCATTCCAATTGCGTAGATTGATGCTCATGAAGTCAATCACTGGATTGTCTGGTCCAGACTCGATTATTTACAGACCACCGTTATACAGCTGAAATATTACTGAGTGCAGCGTTAAACGACAAAGAAACAATATATGCAGGTGCTTGTTTGCCTATTTGTAAGCAGTGGT